CTTGCTTGCTTTTGGTACAAGGTGCAAAATTAGTCTGTGCTTTGGTTACCATGCGGCTTAAAAAGGAAAGTAGAGGAAAACTCAAAGAAGGTGAATGAACTTGGGGTGGGGTCAGGTGTTGTCTGACTGCAGAAAATAAGGAATTGGCAGAGGGGGGACATTTACTTGTGCTTACAGAAAGGGCTGCATCTTTGTGATGCCAGGTCTCCATTAGTCAGAAGGCTGTTTGGGGCCTGTTACAGAATTTGGTATGGGACACTTCTGGTTTAGACATGTAGTTCATTTATTTCTTATCAAGACAGTATCTTCTTTTTGTCCACATGCAGTCAGCCATTGTTTATTATCCATTTGGACAAGCTGCAGCTTTTCTGTAGTGCCAAGACAGAATTTACCAGAACACACTGTATTCAATTAGCATGTACCTGGAAGCCAGTAAAAGTGGCTTTGCCTAGGGCCCTGAGATGAGTAAGCTGAACTATGCTGGTGGAGTGGCAGTGCTGGTTATAGCATAGTGGAGGTCCTGCAATGCTCTATCTTCAGGATCTTTCACTACATCTACAGTGTGTGTCACTAATGTCATCTGTAAACACAGCATCAAATAAAAACACGAGTAGCAGCAGCAGAAGTGGTACTGAGTTAAAACTACAGATTCATCTAGTCCAGCATGTTGTCTGCAGAAGCAGCTGGTGGCAGGTGGGCAAGACTGAAAACCAGCATTTCCCATCCTCCAGTTATCCTAAGTGTTTCCAAGGTGCAGATTTCGCAGTGCTGACTACACATGGGCAAATTTGTTGTGATTTGCAGCTTCCATGTTAGCATCTTATATCTGTTAGTAGACAATCTTTGAAGAGAATCCTATAGGTATTCAAGACACCTCCCTACCACTATATATGGAGGGAAACACAGGGAAGGGGCATGAGAATTCCATCCCTCACTTTGTTTACCAGTACCAGCCAGGACTTAGTGCTGAACCCAAGAACACTTGCATTTAGTAGGAACTGAGGGACAGGCTTTTGGGTAAGAGATTGGGCGCAAAGTATCTCACAAATTAAAAAAAAAAAAAAAACGTGCAGCCTTAGTCCATGCTTAGCACTAAGATTCCTTCCCATCTGTTGAAGTTATCCCTTGAGAATTCTTTCCCCCCCTCCTGTTCTCTAGCGGTAAGGATTCAGGATTTGTCGCTATCCCTAATTTTAAGTGGCTTTAAAGTTCCAAATTACTTGTTTTCATCTCTACTCATGTATTCGTCTTTGAAAATTAGATTTTAGAGCTAGGTCCTTGATGGCTAAGATTTCATTACTATGCCTTGCATAGTTGTAGGGTTGTATTTTGGGGCTTTTCTTCCCAATGAAGATGGCTTTCTTCCATTTCTGGGGAAAATTAGTTAGAATATATGGTCTATGCAAATACCATAAATTACTCTTGCTAGGACTACCCTTTGTAGAAGACCACTGTCATCCTTACTGCTCTTGAGCTATGGTCTTTGATTCATTACCAGCTTTCTACAGAATGTCTCTATAACATGTTATTCAGTTGGATAATAGTGTAGATTTCATCAGATCAGTCCAGAGTAGTAATGCTCTACTTTGTTTAGACAGGTTTAGGACAGTAGTTCTTCCCCATACTATCTGATCTTGATCTTACTGGGCTTAGTTGCATAGATTTTTCCGCAATTAATATCTCTCTCAAAAAAAAAAAAAAAAAAGAGTCCCTTTTAAACTTGGATTAGTTGTTGGTCTCAGTAACTTTCTATTAGGCTTTCTGTCTCTAATGTGTTATAAATGCTGTACTACCCGTAGGATCATTTGTTAAAGGGAAACTGAATTCTGTGGGCTTGAGGGCCCATTCCGGTAGGACCAGCTTGTCTGTGGTGCTCTGGGCTTGTGTCCAGACAGCAGCAAGGCTGAAAGTGTATCCTCAGTGTGCACACAGAGACACAGACAACCACCAGCACAGAAACACAGATAGGAGTACCTTTTCAGGCACCACATACTCACAAGCAGCAGCCACATAGGCAAGAACAATACAAATGGCTTGTTCGCACAAGACGAGCCCTTTTTATCCCCCCACTTTCCATTTTCCCATTCTTGTTTGATCTACCTTGAGCCTTCCCTTTCTCCACCTTTGGCCCTTCCCCTAGACAGTCCATGATAAGTTTTACATGAACCAACAATGTTCCTCAAGTGTCATCATCATCATCATCTCCTCCTCCTCTTCTTTTTTCTTCTTCTGTGTATCTGGGTGTTTATTACTTATCCTACATCTTGTCCTGGTCTTTCATGCTGAAACATGCCCTTAACCAGATAGTGTCACAAAACAGGTAGCATCCCAGTCTATATACCTGTGCCACATTAACAAGTTGCTTTTTAAAATTTTTTATGTGCATTACTGTGGTTTTTATTTAGCTTGCTGTAGTTCTTTCCTGTTGCTGTATTCCGTCTTTCAATATAATATGCTCCTAACAAGACACGGTGGTCAGCTATGTGGTAATCTCCAGTAAAACTACGGTGCACAAAAATGAGTGTTATGTAGAACAGGTTTTACTTCATGTCTTGCAAGTTTGCACCTAGTGTTATGTCCCAGTATGACATTAACTTCCCCTCCACACTCTCAGTAGCACATCTTTGATTCACTGTTGCTATACAATGCATTTAGCTGCAAGATTCTTGCAAACCTTCTACCTAACCAGTTGCACAGCCTTGAAGATCTTTGCATTGTCCCTATAAAATGAAACTGCTTTTTTTTTGTTCCTATTTACAGTAAAATCTCCAACTCAAATAAATTTCCTAAGTTAAGTTAATGAAAATGTAAGAGTATCCTTCCAGCACACCTAAAAACCAAGAGAAGCTATAAAGTTCTGAAATTATTTGTTGGTTGTCTTCTCAGTCTTTACTCCAGTAGCAACAGATTACCAGAAGTGAAAATGTGCGAGGTCTGTGCATACTTTGAGTAGCTATCATAAATCAGACACTCTTGTATGAGCACCTTTTCTGGACCTTCATCTCATAGAGCATTTGGAATTAGGGCCTACTCCCTTGCTTCTCATCAGCAGGTTTGTCCTACAAGAAGCAAAGCAGCTGGACAGATTTTTCTAGTTCTGAAACTCTTCTAAATATGCTTGCCATTAAGACTTCTGGGCTACCTTCCATCACAGCAGTCCTCAATGTCTTCCTGTTCTCCTAGCTGGAAATGGGGACTCTAACATGGACCTTTGGGAAAATCTGAATTGTAGATAAATGGGTGTGAATTTCCTGCCCCACCCCTCACCCCCCCAGTGTATATGCAATGGATGGGTATGTTATAGGAGGCTTTCAGGTTGGCATTTTTAGGAGATGTGTATGTTACTATGTGCTCTTCTCTGAGAAAAAGTATGCTAATGACCTGCTTCAATTCTTACAAGGACTCTGATGATGTTTATGAGAATGTGTTTACTTTTGTCTAAAGTGATAACTTGCATACGTCCTAATCATGGCTCAGCTGTGTTAGGTAATATATAAGCACAAGGTAGTAAACCTGGCGCAAGAAAACTACAGTCCAAGTGCAGAGAAAAAAAAATCTATTAAAATGATTTTTTAAATTCTATTTTATAGGAGAGAGCCTGTGAAATATATTGTTTGAGTCTAAGTCTACACTTTAGACTCTTGAACCCTCCAAGCTGAACTAAGATAAGACTGTTCCAGTGGTACCATGTCACATGTCATGGTCCCTTTTCCATCTGTACCTGCAAGTCAACAATTGTGAAGGATGGAGAATGAGGCCAAGGTCTAGCATAACACAGTCTCTAGAAAAAGGAATTCTGCCCTCTTCCCACTGAGGCTGCTTTTCTTTCTCTGTGCTGGCATATCTCAGTGGCCATCCATTGATCCAGACTAAGGGAAACTTGTTTGGGCTCCATGAAATGTGGTAGTTTTTTACCATTTAAACCGTATTTTTAAAACCTTTAATCATGTAAACAAAATTGTGTTGTTTTTTTTTTGTTTGTTTGTTTTTTCTTTTTTTTTAAGCAGAGCCAAAGCAAGCCAGCCAAGAGGCTTAAGATGTTGCTGATACCACTGTGTTTCATATTACATCAGCTGCCAACGGGTTTCAGGCTGTGCACTGCTTCCAGGCTACTACAATAACAGCCACCTACTGACTCATGTGTGTGGGTGTTCCTTCAAACACACATACACACAGACACACACGCACTCCCCCCCACAGCCCTGGCAGCTGGTCAGATGGAGCCAAAGCCTTAGGACTGGTGCTCCACAAACGCACCCGCAGCGCTCGGCAGTGGTGGAAGGGACCAGTCCTCACTGCCACAGACAGCAGCATCACATCGAGCAGCCTTTACTGACAGAGGCCCAGGCACAAAGCTTGTGGGCACCACAGCACATATGTGCATTTTGTGCCTGATCAGCCCCTCACGTGGATTGAATTAGAATCGGTCTGAAGTTAACATTGGCACTTATCTTAAAAAGTGTAACACTGAACAGCATATTAAAGCTTTTCTTCTCATTCCTGAATTTACCTCCCTCTCTTGTATGCCATTAAGTAGGATATTGATTTTTAAATAGGTGTCAGTGATGAATGTGGTAACTAAACCGCTGTCTCCTACATATACCATCTCACCTGTTTGTCCCCATTTCCTCTCCCCATCAGTACAGCTTCTCTGGAGCAGAAACCTCCACTCCCCTTCCTCCCCTCCAGGAGTGAATTCACTACTTCCAAAATAAGGAGTTCCTTTCAAGCTACATAAAGATGGAGTTAACAGTTACTGGTTTGGGTTCTCTTCTTCGCCTTTCAGCATAGATGCCAGTTTTCTACCAAACTGACATGACTAACATGTGCTCATCTTTATGTTCCTGCAGTTGGCATTGATTTAGGTGATCATTAATTTCTCCACACAAAAGCAGGAAAATCAGTAGTATGTTTGCTAGATTATAGGGTGACTAAGAACCAAAGTGTTGATATAGAAATTGCAGACTTCACACAGGGCAACCCACATTAACTAAAGTTTCTAAAATGTAAAGTAAACTTTATTATCCTTGAACCACAAAATAGATTTCTTTGGTTGTACAAATTTCACTAGTTACAGTCTTGATGCGCTCATTTTCCCTCAGAGTCTCTCAGGAGAGAATGGGAGAGAACCCAGAGCCTGGCACCAGGTACCGCAAAGGGAAAGAAAAAAAGAATCACAAGTTAGTCACCAAAACCAATCCAGGATTGTTTCCAAAATTGCTGTTGTTAAAAAGCAAATGCTAAAATTAGATTTAAAAAGGAAAAGCTCAAATTGCTGATGATGTAAGCAGCCATAGCTGCAGTTTGAGATTATCAGAGTTCCCCCTTCAAAGCTCTGTAAAATGAAAACATACGAAGTCAGTTAAAACGATCCACTGGATTTTGGCATGAAGGGAGATTCTCAACTAAAAGAAACTGCATCCAGTTCTTTCATTCAGCAAATATACAAGCAGAAGTGCCTGTTGCTCCAAGCCACTTCAAGTCACTGAAAGGCTTAAGGTCCAACTCTGGTCTTAATGCTGGAGGGGTTCAGCAGAGAGCACCAATGTATCAGGGTAGGCAGATCAGATTGCTGCCAAGCTCAGACGCCTTTCTCCCTACTAGAGGCATCCAAAAAAAAAAAAAAAAAAAAAAAAGAAAAGAAAAAGGGATGTCTTATTTCAGTACAGTAGTGGGCAGCAGAGACTGGTTTGAGCTATAAGCAGCATCTGCCTCCTCCACATCTGCAGAGCTCACTTGATACAGAATCTGTTCACAGCTCTTGTTCCACTCATGGAAACCAGGAATCACACCCCTGCTCCTTTTTAATTTTCATTTTTTACCTCTTGCATGGGCAAGCATGTATTTTTCCTGTTCTACATGGAGAGGGGCCTGAAGCCAACAAGTTGGCAAAGTGTAGTAGAATTGTGTAGTTATTGCAAGGCATAGGCCAGACCCATCCTACTTCATTGTGCTCTCTGCCTGGCAGGCGCTCCTTGAGAGCCCCACACTGGGCACCCCCATAACATCACATTTCATTTCACAGCCAGCAGGCAACCTAGTGGGCTCACCCACTAGTATCCTCCTACCTGTAAGACCCCATTACTCCTAACCTGACCCCAGCAACGCCACTTCCTACCCTTCCCCATTTCCTGAATCCTAACCCACTATCTTTTCTGCTGTTTACACCTCCTATTTCTGCCACCGTATCCTAAATCCCCAACTATTCTGCTCTCTATTGCTGTCACACATGCACACTGCTATACTCTTGCTACAGCCATTCAGCTCCTTTCTCATTTCTGCCCCAGTTCACCAATTTGGTCATGGTGCTGACAGAAGACAGATACCTGGCCTCCTCTGACACTCAGTACAGCGTGCTTGTAGAGTGGTTCACACTGCCTGCACGTAATACACAAAGTTACGTGTACATGTAGGTAGGTCTTCCAGAATAGCACAAAATACTGGCAGGAGCGATTTCCTACATGTGATAGATTGCTGTGCTCACAGAGGCAAGTGGCACAGAGCTGGCACAGGCTCCTGCTTATTCAGTCATCATGAGCACACAAGTGTCAGTGTCAGAGGGAGGCACTTCACCGAAATTGTTTTGGTGGTTTTTTTTTTTTTGTTGGTGTTTTTGTTTGTTTGTTTGGGTTTTGTTTTGTTTTGTTTTTTTTGCCTCCAAGCTATCCATTTCCACGTACTCCCAAAAGAAAGCAAGGTGACACGGTGCAGGAGGTGGAAGGAGATGCTTTTTGGCAAAAGACTGGAAATTAAATAGGAGCAAAGGCAGGCTGGACCTTCCTTCTACTTCATACTGGAGTAGAAGCTCCCATATTAACCCCTAAAAAAATCCAAGTTGAGGAAATAACAGCTGGAGCCCAAAACACTCTCCCACTCATATATGCTCCCTGTCCTACCCTTCCCCCACACACAATATATACAGGCTAACAAGCTGCAGCTGCCCACTGTCCTACCCACACCTCCTCTCAATTTGCCATCAATAAGTCTGGTGTTGTCCAGCTGTGTTTAGGACATGCCCCAGTGCATTATTGGGTGAGAAAAGAGGGCGGTTCACAGCCTTAAAGGAAGTTAGTTGACCACAATGCTCCCTGTGGTGCTCAGTTCCCATCCAGAGTCCAGGAGGCAGCAGTGTGGGCAGTCCAGTGCTGTCCCTGGAGCACAGGAAGCTCAGAAGCCCCCGTGCTGGGCTATTCCCTTGCCCAGGTGCATCAGGTCTTCTACGTAGGGACAGCAGCCTCCAGACTGCGCCGGCTGTGTCGGAGTTTGCGTTTGCTGCTGTACAGGGCCATTTCTTCAAGTGCTGATGAAGTAGGTGTTGATGAATCACGTGTTACTAGCATTTCCTCTTCCTCTGTCTGCCCATCCTGCTCATGGGGAACTGTGTAGACAAGACAAGTTAAGGTTTTAAGAGAAAGTGCCAGGTTAACTATATAGCTGATACAGTTAATGTAGACATAACAGTATACCCAGGTGCTGAATTTGAGATGGCACTGAAGTCTTAGTGATTCACAGTAATCTTGTGCCCAGAACTTTCATGTGATCTGTAGCTCATGTACTCACTACTGTGGATTCCGTGAAGGAAGTCACACGTGTGAGAAGACACCTGCCCCTAACACCCATGATTCACTGAAAATTACTGGAAGTGTCAAGCCTTAGGAAAAATCAAGTATACTGAAAGGACTTAGGTGTGTGTTAGTGCTCCAGGCATTTCACTAGTTTCAGTAGAGTAGCATGCACTAAAGAGCAGTGTGACTGCCAGTATGGTATGCCATAGCTGATGGTAAGGTGAGCATTTTGACCTTGCATAATGTTGAAGTTACAGGACTAAGTCCTTTCTGTAAATTTAGACTGTGACTTGGGTCCCTCACTGAAGGAAATGACAAGGAAAGATAATCTGGCAGGGCAGACTCCCACTTAACTTGGTCTTGGGCCTTTTAGGATGTGTTCTGCATCTAAAAGTACGCTGTTGTTACAGTGGCTCCTCACCCTCCCGATAGGAGCTGGTAGAGCTTATCTAATGTGCTTTGACATACACCTGGAACATCTGCCCATTGTGGTAATTTGGCTTGAGCAACTACTATGAGATACTTGTGTAAAGAGGAAAAAGTTTCACAAAACCGCAGATTTTTCACTTTAAGTGCAAACTGGCTCCTGAGAACCCTCTCTAAAGTCTTTGAATGTAGCAGATAAATACAAAATCTCAAATACAGAAATCTATGAAGATATATCAGATCAAAGGTGCACAGGCTGCTGAGCTGTACCCAGAGGCCTGCCCTCTGCTCTAAAGCCAGACCAAGATACAATATCCCCCTTGTTAGAGTACCCAAATATGAGTAGTTGTTGTAATTCACGACCCTTCCTGAACTACTAAGTGTAGCATTAACCTGTTGTGTTAAAAGGCCTCAGAACCAAATGAATGTTGGCGACAAATCTGACATCTTGAAAGGATACTGGGATTGGTAAGCTGACTGACTTCCAAACAAGGCAAACAGATATAAAAGAAAGGCATGGGAACATGCAGATAAAATCCAGATGGTTGGGTAGGGGTAGGAAATCAGTGTGTCTTAGAGGGAAGTCATTCCTTTTAGACCCTCTTAGACTAGAATTTGACAAAGGAGCCATCAAACATGCAAGTTAAGTGATCTCAACACAGCACAGTGAACTCTTAAAAAAACCTTTTGATAGTTCCTCAGCAAAAGCTCTTAATAAAAACAAGCTGCCATGGGATAAGAAGGCATGTCCTTTGGTGAGTAAGTAAGTAGTTAAAATATAGAAAATATCTGGCTCAAGACATTCCTAGGTAGTAGGTTATGACAGAAAATTGAGAATATGCACCCATGCAAGCTCATTTTCTCGGTTTCTTATAGTCTTTCCTCAGGAACTCACTTCAAGCCAAACAGGATACCGGTGTATTCTGAACCAGTACAAGCCTCCCTTACATGTTTCCTATCCTATGAAAGGAATCAGAAAATACTGGAAGAGAGCACAGGCATTGCAACTAGTATTAATCCAGAGATTCTAGTTTTGTGAAATTTTGGCGTTCTGGTGCGACAGAACCTGTAAAATGGAAGTCTGGACAACAAAAGGGTGGATGGAAGTGTTTCGAGTAGAGATGTGGCTAAAAAGGCTGGAAGGGAATATGAGCTGCTGAGCTGAGGCCTGGACAAAACTAATAATACAGTAGTGATTAGTCCAGTGTAGGATAAAAATATACCTTTCCTGTATATGTTGCTATAGACATTAGACATCCCAAGCGGACAAAGACCGTGAGGACAAAAGAATTTTCTTAAATACCATAAACAGGTATCCAGTAGTAAGTGCAATACTACGTTATCAAGGCTGTATGTCTGAAACCTGAGAGTTTTAAGATTGGAAAGCAAAAGATTCTGTCTCTAAGTGATCTGGAAGAGTTATGTCATAAAGCAAATAAAGCACTGTTCCACTCTAAAAATGCTATTATGTAGTTTAATAACTTCAGGGCCGCATGAAAACCTTGGAATAAATTATTTTAATACATTTAAAAGATGACGACCATGAAGTCAGACCTAAGAGTGGAGAGAAATATTTCTTAGAGTGCACCTGCAGTCGACAAGAAGAAAATGGTGTGCTTTAAAAGATGTTCAGAAGAGATACATGCTAATGCTTTCCTGCAGCCAACAGTAAGATATCCTTGGAGTTGCTGTCACAATGCTTTTCTAACATAAAGTTTAGGAATTGCTTATGAATTTATCATATGATCAAAAAGTCATAATTCCATGATCAAGGATAATTCTGATTAAAATCCCAGTGTGTGTAGAGGTGTACAGAGAAAAGGTGTCACTAAATGTAGCAATGAGATCTCTTTAAAGCTGTATTAAATACACACAGAAGTGAAAGGCCTGATTAGATATGTCAAATTGGTGCCTGAAATGCTGGGAATTACAAATGATGCTAGGATGGTGGGTGGGAGGAGAATGCACACATGTAGTGTTGTTTTGAACTAGTTCAGCATATACTCCCTTTGATATTTGGTAACTGGTTTCCATTCCTTTTCCTTTTACGGTAAAGAAAAACGCAAGTAAAAATCACTTGAATTCTCAAGTATTTTCCCAGAGAAATATTTTATTCCAAATATTTTCTCCTCATATTCTGAGAAGGTTATCTGAAAAGAGACAAAAGTAGGCCTAGCAGAAGGCTGGAACTGATGCAGAAAAGGAGAAATTTTTTTAAATTCCTCATACAGACGTTATAACTTGCCAAAAGCTATGTAAAAATAAAAATAAAGATCTGTATGTTGGCTGGAATGCTACACTGCCTGAAAGAATGAGATGAGGTCAGGGGGGGTGTCCTGGGATGAGTGAGTGGTGGAGTTTTTTGGTGGCAGGGGAGGGGGCTATCGGGGCGGCCCCCTGTGAGAAGCTTCTCGAAGCTCCCCCAGCTCCACGTCAGCTCCACTTCTGTTTGGGAAATTGAGCCAATCGGCTGCGCCTCTGCGATAACGTATTTAAGAAGGGACGTGGTGATGGGCAGTCGGACTTGTGAGGAGGAGTTGCTGCAGCTGCGTGAACACCAAGGTCAGTGGAAGAACAGAGGAAGAAAGGAGGGGGGAGGTGTGCCGGAGCAGAGACCCCCCTGTATCCTGTGGTGAGATGGCAGGGCTCCCCCCCCCCGCCACCAATGGAGATCTACGGTGGAGCAGACATTGATTTGTGGCCTGTTGCTCCTGCTCGGTTGATCAAGGTTCTGTGCCCGAAGAAGGCTGGGGTCTCATGGGAAAAGGCAGCCCCACTGCTGCAACTCAGCGCTGGGGGGATTGCAGCATGCGGGGGTGTCCACACCGGAGCAGCTCGGGAAGGGCTGCAGCCGTGGGAGGGAATCCAGTCGGAGAAAGTTAGTGACCCATGACGGAGCAGTGTGGGGAACGCTGCGGCCCGTGGGAGGAATTCAAGTCGGAGAAAGTTTGTGGAGGACTGTCTCCTGTGAGAGGGGGACCACGATGGAGCAGGGGGTAACAAGTTTTGGACACTCCCCTCACCGAACATGAAGGAAGTGGCAGCACTGCCTGCACCCCCCATTCCCTGCCCCTGCGCCACTGGGGGAGGAGGTAGAGATATCGGGAGCAGAGCTGAGCCCGGGAAGAAGGGAGGGGTGGGGGGAAGGTGTTCTCAAGATGTGGCAATGCTTCTCACTGTCCTACTCTGTTATGTGTTGTTAGTGTCTGTAATAAATGTATGTTCTTTTTTTCTTCCCCTAACGAGTCTGCCTTTCGCTCGTGATCATAAAAGGGGGATTTTCCCCCATCCCAGTCCTATCTCGCACCCCAAGCCTGGCTCTCTGTCCCTTCTCCTTGCCGGAGGGGAAGGGAGAGAGAGCTGCTGCATTGTGGTTGGCTGCCAATCAGGCCTAAATCACAATAGGGGGAAATCTAAAAAAACTGAACAGCTTTGTTCATTACCGAAAGAGCTTAGTTGCATCTTCACCTGCTATCCTTCCAAACTGATTTTGGAAACCTGCATTTTTTTGGTGCCTCACACACATCACAGCCTCATACTGAGGTGACTTAAGGATTACTCAAGGACTAAGGCCTGGGTTAAAAAACTCTTCATAGAGCACCACACTCTTCTCTTTATGGCTTTTACTTTATTTGAGGGCCTAACAGACCAATGACAGGCAACAGTGAAGTCTGAAGCCGCTAAGCAACTGCTAATTATTTCCCAACCCTTCAGTAACCTCCTACTTATGTATACTGACTGAATGGACTACCTCAAGAGAATAACTCAGGGTTGAGAGGTTTACTCTGAGGGAAGAATAACAGATGTTGTTCTCAGGAAATTAAGTTTTTTCTTGAGTCTCCGCAGCAGAAACTCCTTCTGGAAATGGTCCATACATGGATCAGCTGTCTGGAGTGCAGCCTTTACTCAGAGAGATGTGCAAAGATAAAATTGAGAGAGAAACTGTTCCTCATGTAAAATAAAGGGAAAAAAAAATAGCTGCAGAACAGGTAGAAGAAAACCAGCATCAAATGTTGAAGGAAACAGAAGTACTACTGAGGAGCAGGCAGGCCCTGCTGAGCTCCACACTATTACTACAGCCACCTAGAGTGAAGTGGGAGATAGTCAGAGCCTATCTATTGTAGTTAGGGACAGAAAGACATACTATAGCTAGGACAGTCTGAAGAGCTACAGCAGTCGAAGGTTTAATTACTGTTTATTTAGGTGACCATGCACCCAGATCCACAAGCACAGACTTGGAGAGTCATCTGGGTACTCAGGCACCCAAATGCTCTCAAGTCTTAAACCAGGATGAATTTATCTGCAGCTGGCTGTTGCAGGCAGCAAGACTCTTTACTCTAGCAAAAGGAGCACAATACAGACCCTGGACAATGGATGTTATTCACTTTCAGCAGGTGACAGAGGCCAAAACTTCCCACCCTGTTCTACTACCACTCTTTACTCCAGAACACAAAAAATGAAGAAAACTAGGCATGCTTGTTACACACCATTCTCAGCAAATTAGCCATCACTAAAGCACAATGCAAATATCCTACCCAAATCTGAATGTGGCGAGTTTGGAGGTTTCATTCTAAAATGGACAAAATAGGACATTGCTTCAAGCAGCAAGAAGTTGAAGTCCTCAGGGCTGACTCCACAAGCAGGCAAAGGGAAACCCTCTACAACCATGGTGGGAAGCCAGTAGTACAAAGATGACTCCTTTAGCCATGAGCTTACCTGAGTTATTTCTGTCATCTATGTATCTGAGGTCATCAGCTGCATCAGGTGACTGGAAGAGAACAGAAGACATGAGCATCCACCTCTGCAACACTAATTTCCCACCTCTAGCCTTCCAACACACTACAGAGAATCTTTTGCCCTCAAGGGCGCTGGTAATACAGCAGCTGGGGCATGACCCTCGGTGCATGCACGTGACTACAACATTACTCCATTGTGCTAAAGTCAAGCAGCCCATTGCCTGAATTGCAGAATGAAGTGCATGTCTGTCCATCAGAGCTCTCATTCTTTTACTTTGTGTGTAGGAAGAAGAAGAAAAGTGACCTGAAAGGTAGAAAGTGTAAAGACTATAGAAAAATTAGTAGAAACATGGGAGGAGAGCAAAGACAAGCTACATTTCCTTGAGAGTCCTGGATCCTAATTTTGCATCTGCACTGTTCCCAGGCCTGGCTTCTTATGCAAAAATCAACTTTCTCCTTTCTATTCAAGTGTCTATAGAGAATTGATGTGGGATAGGAAGCAGTAACATCCTAACAGATAGCAGACAGCTTTGGAGAAATGGCTAAGTGATAATCATGAAATTCCACCAGTTCCTGCTAATTTCAAAGTCTTCACAAAATGAAGGCCATTCCAACAACCAGAGCTGCCCGTAGCTCATCAGACCAGACTGACAACACCATGATAAAACAATTTTGCTCACAGTCAGGAACTTGAGGTGGCTTGAAAATCAGCACTATTCTGGGGACAGGCATAAATGTCCCAAGCCCTACCTATTTTGCTGAAATAGAGAACTTAATTTAGCTGTATATAGTGCTTCAAGGATAGAAAGGTCAAAGTATTCTCTTGAGGTATTCTGTTTACTTGAAAAGTGGCTGCATTTGTTACTTGTACAATTCTTCCCAAGTTTGTACACAATACACTGAGCTCAACCCTTCTCTGAGCTATACAAATGTAAGGATACAGTTTCAGAAAAGCTCAGTATTCAGCAAGTTTAATCATGCCAAACTTGTCTGAAAGTTCTGGCCACTACTGATCAAAATCTATCTTTTAGGGGGTTGGGTTGTCTTGCTCAGCTCAAGAGCACTAGTGAGGAGAAGCTTAATGTTTCTTTAGTTGTAGGATGAAGGATGGCAGCTCTCTACACTTACATGGAAAGCATTAGGGAAGTTTCACAGCTGTGAGAGTGCAAGAAGTCCTCATTTCCATATAAACTTGCCTATTTTGTGCAAGCAGCAAAACTGGAAGAGGCAGGAAAGAGGGGGAGTGACCTCAGCCCATTTAGTGCTTTAGAAATAAAGCAAATATATGGTAGAAGTCATGCTCTTCACGACCTGTGGTGAGCAGAGCACAGGGGGCTGTGATGATTTTGATATGCATTGTTGAGGAGCACAGCCCAGCCAAATAGCACTGCACTGATCCAAAGTGACTTATTTGTGTGACTATGGCCAGGAAGAAATACAGTCTCTTTATTACTGCACTGCGGAGAGAGGTCCAGAGGAACTGCCAAATGACTTGAAGGTGTAGCCTCCTTGGGAGGCACCTTCTCAGCTGTATGAAGACCCAGTGCTGTACTGTGGCCTCAGCAGAGCCTTGGGGAAACTTGGGTAGTCCAGAGCTGCCACTGGGGCCTGAGTGGCCACTCTTCAACTCACTTGGTACAGCATCTGGACAGGTACATACCCCAAGAGGGAAGGGATTCTCAGAGAAAAAGATTACCAAGGGCTGAGCAATATCACCAATGAAAGGAGTCACCCAAGATTATGCTTTAAATAATGTATAACTGCCTGAGACCCCTCAAACTGCAACTCTGCTAAAGTCAGCCTGGTTTTGGGATGACACTTTGGACCTGGGATCTTTGTGTCATGGCAGCAGGTTAAAGCCCAACATGTCAGTACTTGCCAGCTCTCCACACACAGCACAAATGTGACTGAAGGTATGTGCTTCGCTGTCTTTATATAAAACTAAAAAAAAATTACAGACATACAGCATCTGCTCAAATCAGCAGTCACAAATGCAATCAGTTAATGTCTAACCCAGACAATAAGAGAAAGGCAGTTCACAGTCCTGGGCAACTGGTTCCAGGTGGCCCTGCTTGAGCAGGAGGGTCAGACAAGATGACCTCCAGAGGTCTCTTCCAACCTCAACCATCTGTGATTCCGTGACAAAGCAGCTTAAATGAAATGAGGTTCCTTTAGGAAGGAGAACAACCTTGCCATGGCACTCACCCTTGAAACCTGGTGTTCTCTTACCACATGATTATTTTACAGTTCATCTACAGCAGTTACAACATATGAGAATTGTCACCACAGTGTGCTTCTTGGGCAGGATGCCAGATACATTCCAGTTTGAAGTTAACATTTGCTCCAATTTTAAATTTGTTGGCAATAATTTCTATAGTTTTTTCTTCCCTTTTAGTTCTCATTTTTCACTTAAAAATACTTCAGGATCAATTAAAGTGAAGATGTAGCTGCTTTATATTTGCAAAGCTTTTTTTCATTAGTTTTAAAACCATCTGGACCAACTTTTTCACAAATCCACTTGACAGAAGTCTCCAGTAAAGCCTCAGTTACACAGCACGGCTGGTCATCATTGCCTCCCACACAGACAGGGCCTTTGAAGAGGACTCCCTCAAATCATTCAACCTCTGCTTTGAAGGTCATCACTTCATGTGCAGGCACTTCCATCAAATCAAGTCCTAACCAATCTAATAGAAGGTTTAACATGCAGTTTATACCTGGATTTCGTAAACAGGTTTGGAGGAAGGAATAGCAGCAAATTCCCGGTAGTCAAACTTCTTTTCAGACATGGACTAAAAGGGACAGCGAAAGAGAAGAAACAGAGAAGAGAGTAAGGGGAGAGAAACGGATGGAAAACCAGCAGCAAGCTGAGCAATCCGTGCAGAGGTAAAAGCAGAAGCAGAGTGTCATTCTCAGTTAGTGCCAAGAATGTCTTGATACAGCCTCTGAAAATGAGGCATCTCTGGGACATGGTCTTTTTAGCTGGTGTCAGGACAGGGGTTCCAAGTTGCAGAGAAAATATTATGTGCTCCAGTAAAATGCATATGCATGGCATGGCCAGTTAGGTAGGAAGCCTATTTTCATGGGAAAATCCATAGCAAGATTCCTGATGGCTGTAGCACAGTCAGGATCTCAATCTAGAGTTGGCTGTATCGTGTGACCTTGGGCAAAACCAGGTCCTCCCTCTGTGCAGCTGCTCCCACTCTTCCGTTTAACTGTTGTACTAATTTTGACAGCTCTCTGCAACAATGTCCTGTTGCATTTATACAGTGCTTAGAAAAAGGAAAATGCTGGTTCCAGCTGAAGTTCTCAGCTTTATGCTGCTGAGGAAACAAAGGACCAAAGTCTCTGAAGCGAAAGGCTTTCTGAACACAGAGATGAAGAACCAAGAAAAGGATGAAATAATAAAACAGGGAAACAGAAAATAGATGTTACATCATTGTTGCAAAAAAAGGGGGGATGCCTCTAGCAATGTGTATGGCAGAGCTCTATCCACTGTGCCCTCTTCACAATTCTGTATATCATGCAGCCAGATCTGGCTTAAGTATTTAAGTAGGGATCCCATGGCCCAGATGCACAGTCCACACCCAAACTGAGTAACCAAAAAATCCCAGCATTATAGACAAGATAACAAAAGCAAGCACAAGTATGTCATACCAGCCTTCCCGGTGAAGTGACGTTTCTGGGACTGCAATCTGAAAAATATGACAGAAAAGCACTATTTAGTGAGTGGTTGTATTATATGCAACACTTCCCTGAATCTGCCCCTTCCATTTAGCAGCATTTAAGTGTGATAAAAGACTACGCTCAGGAAAGACTCTGCCTTTTCAGAACAAATGATTCTTTCCTGTTTTTTTTAAGATGCTGGTTTTATTTCTGCTCTGGTTCCCTGGAACCATACTTCAGATGTTCTCTCACATTTTCTATAGATCAGGCCCATGACCTAGGCTGAGAGATGCCATATGCCCTGAAGGACCTGCCAATCTATGCTGAAGGAGAAAATGCTTTCAGTAGGTCTGCTTTCAAACCAGTTAAGCTAGAGAATCATTAACTTTTTTCCTCAGATATAGAGATAGCTATACAGTACCTTCCAGTGGTGTCGGTGATGGGGTAGGAACAGGTGAAGGTGACTCTGCCAGCTGCTCCAGTGTGCTGCGTTTTTTCCCCTCCTTGGACTTGGCAATAACCATTTGGGCTTTAAGAGCATCCTGTTCAAGTGATTTCATTCTGCCTCAGAAATGAGGGAGGGAGAAAAAGACATCAGACATTGCCTTCTTGATAAGAGATAATGCCACCTTCTGCACCCAGCAGCCAGACCACAGTCAACAGGCTGAGTGCAGAAAGGCAAAATTAAGCACCCTTGGTTCCCTGAGGCAGACAGACTTTTACAGCAGGAGAGGAGAACAGCTTGGTTTGCTGTCATCCTGAAACACACATGCCATCATGTGTTGAATAGACAGAACCTAGAGCTAAGCATCAATGCACCGAGAAGCTGCAGGCCTTTCCAGAGGTGCCATATATGATGGGACAGCAACAGAAACTGGGAAAGGGCCTGCAGGGGCTCAAATGAGTAGGATCAGTTCTCAGGGCTTTACTCTCCTCTGTGCTCTCAAGTGTGTTGCATCTTAACCCTCTTCAGCTATCACAGGATTAAGAAGTAGCTAAGAAAAAGCAGGCTCAGCCTTCATAAACGTCTGCTCTCTCCTCCCAAACAGACCCAGCATCCCCCCCACCTTCCTCATTGACACCACTTCCAATAGTCTGTGGAACCTCAGGGAAATGAACACCGGCAACCACTAAAATTTCCTCCCTATCCCTGGCAGGCCACAGCTGGGAGCACCGCATTAGGATGGAGGGATACAGACAGGACTGTTGAGCATGCAGCTGGCAGGGAGGGGGCTGTGCACACCTGGATTGGCTTCCTGACCCAGGGATTCTTGAGGCGTGACTCTGCATTGGACTAGACATCTGAGCTGGCCTGGCCCCGGGAGCAGGTGCCCACTGTCGGGACTGGTACAGCTTCCTGGCCAGATCCTGCTCGTACTGTTTAATACTGTCTTCAAGAGCTGAGGATCTGAGGAGGAGGAGGAGGAAGAGGAGGAGGAAGAGGAGGAAGAGGAGATGATGGTGATGAACATCGCAGCAGACAAGCGCAGGGAAAGAAAGAAACAGATACAGGAACACACCCTGGCAAGGAGAAATACGGGTCTGATATAGGGGTAGCCTTGATTAAAAGAGGCTCCTATATCTGATCCTGTCCAACACCAACTGCTGCAGAAGAAGCGGGAACCTCCAGAGGGCAATCTGGGATGATGTGCCCAGAAGCATTCGCCTTCAGAGCCTCAACATCTAGAGTCTGCACTCCTCACAGGCTAGGAGAGGACTAGAAACACCCAGCAGACCAATGGAAAAGGCCCAGGAGGTAGCTACAAAGAAGTGTGTATGTGTGAAGCAGACTGAGGGAGTACAGGGCATGAGTGAGTGTGAGTGCACACATTTAATAATCTCTTAGTGTACATTTGCATACATATATCTGACCACCTGTTAGCATGCACCTTTGTCTGACCACAAGAAAAGGGGAAGCAAAATGGACAAGCACATTACAAAAGGTCTGTTTGCCACAGGCCCTGGAACACATGCAATTGAAGAGGTGAGTGCATCTGTAAAATAGCATGTGCACAGTAGGAAAACTGCCCAAGATGTATACAGCCCTTGCAGGACACCTGCCCCACTCGATATGTGCCTGTACTCTTCCTATCACACGAATGCCAGTAGTTGTGTGTGCCCAGAACAGTTATATAGCATGGGTCCTGGTGTGACTGTCCCAACAAAGCACAGGGGGGTGAGGGTGTTGCGGGGGGGTGGAAAGGGGGGCACACCACATGTCCTGGCAGAGCACTGATGACACAGGGAGAAAAAGGAAAACCCAAGAAGGTGCAAACTGATCGGGTCACGAGTGACAGCACACAGACCAGAGAACTGGAAAGAAGCAGAAGATAGAAGATTAGAAAGAAAGTAATAAAATCAGTGGCATGCACTTAAAGAAAATAAAGGTTAGTGAGGCTGCAGCACCATGTGCAGGGCAATACAGTCCTCCCTCTCACACAGCACATGTAGTGCTGCCTGGGGGCCTCTGGAAATAAGACTTGAGCCCTGGCTGCCATCATGTCACTGTGCCTGCTCTAGCAGTTATAGAAGAGGGATCCTAGGAAGACCAGATCATCCTGGAAGACCTGTGGTAGTAGGGAACAGCCCATCCTTGTCTTAACAAAAAGGAGCACATTATGGTGACTGGCTGATTCCTGACAATGCCAAAATAAGTAAGGCCTTAACCCTACACAAGGGCCAAGCAAGGAATCAGCCAGGCACTTCTCTAAGAACTGAATAAAAAGCTACACCTTGGTATCAGAAGCAAAGTGGAGCTGAGGACCTGGTCTGCAGAACTTAAAAACTGTAACACTGGATCTGATAACTGAAAAGCAAGACAGCTCAAGTAGCTGCTCCCTGTCATGTATTCTTACTTCTAAAAGGCTCTCCCTTCACTGGTTCATTTTCCATGAACAAATCATGCTTAGAAGAGAAGAGACTGAAGGTTTGGAATGCAGGGATCTCTCTCCTGCCCATCGTAGGCAAAACCACTACACTCAGCACTCACTAACCCTTCTACATTAATGCAGAACTTTTACTGTGCCCTTAGCAATTTCAACAAAATCCTAGCTAACCCAAAAGCATAGTCAGACATACAGTAATGCTACAGGAGCAAGTCATGTGATGACCTAAACCAGATCCTGCCCCCTTTTTTTCAGATTTCTTTATCTGCTGGTAACAGCAACAAGTTCATGAAAGATCACAGAGTCCTGAGGCAAGTGGTATACGTTCTGTGACATGAGTAATGCTACAGCAAATGGCTTTGCTTTCAAAGGTTTGTGCAGGCAATGTCACATTTCTCCTTTCTACACCCAACTTAAACAAAGCTTTTATTACAGCATTCCTTGGATATGTTAATGGTTAGGAGGAATTAGAACTGACATTACCTCATAAAGCCTGCCCCACTGTATGAGGAAATATGCATGGGAAGTGGAGGCATGAGGGAGAGAAAATCCTGCATGTAATTGGGAAAGGATGACAGATCAGTCTCTACAACCTCTCCAAGCACAGTGATACTGATTTTCAGGAGGAGAAGCCCGACAGACAACTTCTGTTTTGTTGGATCAAATAGAACAGTGGAGCTTTATTTTTTAGGTGCAAAGACTGAATGAACAGCAACTGTCTGCAAGATGTCTACTCCTGACAACACTGGTGCTCACACAGCATCGTACCAACAGTCAGTTTTTAATTTATTCAATGCTTATAGCCTTCCTGGAAGATAGAGAAGTGCTATTACAGTCCTGTCTCCATGCATCTGCAACACAGAAGTACTCGGTGATCTCTCCAACGTCGTAAGGAAGTATATGCCAGAGCAAGAATTTGGATCTGATAGTCTCAGTCCTAGCCAGCCTCTTCTGAGCAATGGTTTGTAAGCAGGCATTTCGCTCCACAACACTTACACAGCTTCTAGCCCTGTAACACAAGGGCAATGTGTCTGTTTTGGCAGGCACTGTTTAAAAATTCTGTTCTACCTGTATTTTTGTAAAAGGGTTGTTCCTGGCTTAATGTGAAAATACAGAACTTCCATTTGCAAATGATGCCACCTAAAAAGTTGTGACATGGAAACCGTGGGAACAGCATCAACTAGACTAGGTGTGAGGTGTCAAATACAGAAGAACATTCAGTGAATCAGAGCAGCAGACAGAATCCCACAGTATTTGGAGCATGAAACAATAGCACAGGGTAAAAACAATCCTTCCAGAGCATACTCTGTTGACGTCCTGACTCATCCCTGTGCCTGTATGCAGGCATCCCCATTAGTGGGGAGCTGGGGAAGGAGAGATTACTAAGTATAGACTCACAGAGCAATTCAAGTTGGAAGGGACCTCTGGAGGTCATCTGATCCAAAAGCTGCTCAAAGCAGGGCCGGCTTCAAAGGTCTAACAAACATGCTACAAGATGACAGAAATCAGTGTCTTTCAAATCAATGTTCCATATAGCAAACAGGCTTTCCAGTGACTTGCTCAGCTTTCCGACATTACAGGGCAGTGCAGTGAAACTAAGGCAGCGCTTTAGAAAAAAATTTCCAGCTGAGACAGACCAGGCAAAGGACTCATCCACGGCAAAGAGTTGGAGCATACCAAGAAAGTTTCTCCTGAAGGGCAAAAGCCCTGGTACTAGAAACATGAGTCCAACTCTAAATAAACCGTAAGCAGATCTGTTACAATGATCAAGTAGCAATGGGAAGCTTTGTACCCTTAAAGCCCTAGATAACTAGCCAGCTCTCATTGAGGATTCCTCTTTATATTCCTTCATCCTCAGAGACTCCCCAGAAGATGACAGCACTATTATTATCCACGTCTAAGCACAAACACTGGAACTGCCAAATGGTATCACAACTCATGGTAATCCCTCCATCATCTTATCTAGCAAGCTGGCAAGAATGAGTCGCTAGCAGCCTTGTTTCTCTAAAAGCTCTCACTCAAACCCCAAAAAAGACTGTTTCAGATTGTCCTTCGAATGTCTCCTACAGGAACATTATGGGAAGAAAACTATAATTAGTTATAGGAGCAGCTTGACTAATTTTTGAAAGGAATTGTATGACACAGTAAATGCCTGGACTAGCTTCAAGTCTTAAGTTCTGAGCTAGAAGTTCTCTTTCTTCCAAAACAATTTTTAATCACTTTTTCATAGCTGATGTAACAGCTTGTGTGGATAAGAATGCCCTTGTCTCACTAATTACTTGGCTTTAGCAAGTTTTCCAGTCTAGCAACAATGGATATGTGAAATGCTCTTTCCATTTTTCACCTTGCAGCTTCAATAAATAGAATCTTTTTCATGTGTTACAAAATAGGTGGGACGCTGTGTGCTGAGAGGGAAGGAATACATTCATCATCACATAAAGGTGTTCAAGTTACGTATTTTGTAAAACTCCAGTGTCTTCATGACTGTGCAAGCACTGTTGAAATGTAAGACATCTCACCCACGTAGCTGTCAGAAGCAGATGAGCTCAGCCAAGCGGTGGATGTCTTGCACTGTTTGAACAGATACGATATGACCTACCCTAACATCTGATTTAGGAAGGCCTGTTTATTCCCTGCTTTTAATGCTATGTAATACACAAGACATGCAGCAGGTCCCCCTTTCCTGCGCTGGCCTAATAAAGAGAACAGTGAAAGTTCTTCTGTCTCACCGTGCTGCCCTCCACATTGCTCGTTTCTCTGCCTCCAGAGCACGGCGTTCTGCTGGGGAAAGCTCCTTCTCCTGACCACTCAGAAGCTCAGGACTCTGCATTCGCAATCGCTCCTGGTGCCGCCGTTCAGCTTTGGCTGTCCGCACAGGTGCCACTGAATCCCCTGCTCCAAGATGTAATGGACTCAACCTGGGCAGAGAGAGAAACAGTGAGAGGTAGGCTGGGCTGGCCAACCACAACTCTTACCTGCCTGCTTTCAAGATAAAAAATGATGACTGACACCCCCAATCAACTGTTTAGTACCACATCCAAGCACATCACCTTAGGAGATGGAAGGACACATAACAGAAGTGAGTTTCTCTTAAGCTGGTTCCAATCACAGTTTCCCTTTCTCTGCACCGTACGTCTGCTAAAAAGAAGGAGCCATCTGCTCCATCATGTGGCAGCTCCTAGGCAAAGGACGTTGCTGGTCCACTTACCCAGACATAGAGTTGGTTCTCTGTTCAGGCTTGATTCCCTCTTCCAGTGAATTCCTCTGTGAGCTGCTGTTCTCACTGACCTCAGAGGGCCTAGAGCAAAAATAAGCACATCAGCAGACGGTACCACAGGCTGGCATACCCAAGAAAGGTTTGGAACGGATCCAAGCCACAGAAAGCAACTAATTCAGTTTGAACACGCAATCCTTACTGATTTGCTCAATAGCTCCTTCACATACACACACAGTCAGATGTAATGCATCATGTTTGCTAACAAGTTCTTCCACAGTTCTAGCCTGGTTCTTTCCAGCTGCCATGATGTGATGGGCAGCCTGGCTGCTTCCAGATTTTTCCTTTGCTGATGTCATATATGCACGAATGTTAAACGAAGGACAACCTTCCTGGGTTGTAAGTGAATGCACATCTGGGTTAGGGACGAATCCTGAGTGATCTCAGAACAGTGATTCTCAATGTAGCCACTCTATGCGCAACTGCTTGACACACTGAGGCTTTATGCTCATAACCAAATTACTGCAAACTTCAGATCAGCTGAGCTGTAGTTACCATCTGCACTCTTAAATTGTATGCATGCAGATACTACTCAGTTTCATTTGTAATGAAAGGAAGTCGCACAAGCCCGTATTCCACAGGTTAAGAACATGCATACTGTGGCTCAGCTGGCAGTGAGGAAATTTATCATGACTCTGAGCCCTTATTTTTACTGCTCAAGTTTATTTTGATTAAATTTCAGTTTCTGTTCTAGCATGACAAAAAAATATTTCAGGAAACAAAGTCAGTCTATTCCTGCCTTTGCTTTTCTTCAAGCATAATAAGCAACTGAAAGTCATCTGATGGATCTCTAACCTCCCACATTTCAATATAAAAACAGCCGGAGTAAGTATGCCTTCACATCAAACCAAGAAGCTGGTTTGCATTTGGCTGCTGTCCTTCCTTAGAGTTGCCCTGTCTGCACAGGAGGTGGAAGGTCTCAGTGCATTCATTATGTGAGAATTTCCTCAACAAAGACTGGACAGAAACAATGGAGAGAAATGAGATTCAAAATGACAGGATAAGTGTTTTCATCCACTATAAGACTGGCAATAAAAGTCTCTGTGAAGAGAAGAATGTCTGCACCAAAGACTCAGAAGAGAGAGTCAGATAAGGACAGCTTCAGCTTTATTCTAGTGCAACCTTATTTTATCTTTTATCTGTGAGAAGACTTTTCTCATTCCCCATTTTCTATCCCCAGGAATTAGAAAAACAACATTAATGCAACCTGGAGGACAAGTCCAGGAGAACCAGAAAACAAAAGCCAAAATATACCCAAACCTAGGTTCAGCATCAGGGCTTATGTTGAATTAGCTGTCTCTGAAAATCAACATCTCTACATGTGCAAGTGCACAGCTGGAGGATCTGTTCTTCTGAAAAGGAAGAGCTGAAATAAACCTGCCCGTTTCTATGCTGAAACAAAAATACCACCCAGCCCTTTTCTCCGAAAATTACTGACACATGATACTGATTACTGACACCTCCGACACGTGGGTGGTGCTGAGCTACCAGTTTTCTCTTACCGAGTTGCTGGAGCCTGGATGCTCCTTCCGTTTAGTCTCTCAATCTTGTACTCAACTCCTTCAATGATGACACTGGACTGCATGCTCATCTCAGGCACCTGTTTTACCATCTCATCCTCTTCTGCCTCTTCCTCCAACAGAAGGGTACGTTTCTGCTGCAGTTTTCGAGCTGCCAAAATAAAACAGACTCATACCACAAAGCACTCCCACAAGGACACAACTTCAAGGCAGGTCCTTATGCTTATCATCCCTGCAAGTCTGTGCTGTTCTAAGTCCATACTCTCTCCACAGAAGCCTTTGTTTCTCCTCCACTGCACTAATGCTTCAGACGTAACAAACTCTACACCAATCCCTCCGTCCCTCCTTCCTTATTCACTAAACTTCCATTTCCGAACAGTTTATAGAAAAAATTTCCAACAGTTCATCATGTTGAGTGTACTCATCCTCAAACTGAAAGTTGTGTGCAGACTCTTCTGCCCCTTTCCCCAGAATGGACAGCCCTAGGAATCTGCATGCACGTGTTGAGTCTGATCTTCCCACTTGCCTCCTGGAGGGACCAAAGCCTGGAGTGCTAGTGACAGACCTCCACACAAGGCAAAGGACTGAGGTGACCATTAGGCACGCAGACTAATAGGTCAGAAAAGAATCAGGGACAAAAAGGGGCAGAGAGCAGGCTGCTCTATGCAGGCTTGTATTCGGCAGTCAGCTGGTTGCCAGTGGTGTTCCTCAGGGCTCCTTTCTAGGGGCAGTTCTGTTCAATATTTTTATCAACGATCTGGACGCAGGGGTTGAATTCACCATTAGGAAGTCTGCTGATGATACTAAACTAGAAGGTGCTGTTGACTCTCTCAAGGGACATGAGGCCTTGCAGAGGGATTGGGCAATCATGAATTTAACAAGCACAAATGCTGGATTCCGCACCTAGGACAGAGTAATGCTGGGCACAAGTATAATTTGGGAGATGCCATGGGCAACCCTGTGTTGCTGCATATCAGCCTGGGCGACTTACAAAGAAACGTTATCATTTGTAATAGCTTTTTAAAACTTTATTGAAGTGTTCACCAACTACAGGAAACCCTGACACCACAGCACTTCCACCAGCCCACGGAGTAACAGTGGAACATCCACTGAACTCCTTAACGTTCACTTATTTCAAGCTATTACCAGGCCTTATGAATAACCATTCGTGGGCTTTTGGATGTGCTGGATTTCTGGTGTGTGTGCTCTCTCGTGCCTCCCACAGAGAAAGGACTTGCTTAACAAGCCAAATTTCCCTGCACAGATCCCAACATACCTTCCTCTTCTTTCATTTTCTTCAGGTCATCCTCTCCTACCAAGGAAACACGCTTGGGAGGCTTATCCATCTGCTGTTGCTTCACCTCAATTTCAAAATACTTCTGCCTCTCGCGGAAGGACCTCTGCTCAGGGCTGTGCAGTCCACTGGGGCTGTGCATGGCCACCTGCGAGAGCCACACCGGCACTGCCCAGAGCAAGCGAGCCGAACCTCCCTCCCCACATCACCCCCAGTGCGTGCCCCACGCCTGCCCCCGCCGCGACCCTGTCTCCACATCCACAGCCCAGAAAGCCTGAACCTCTGTGAGTGCTCAACCTACTTCCAGCTCCAGCCAGCCATCAGAACTCACCTCCGGGGCAGCTTTGGGATTCTCTGTGCTGGTCTGACCAAGCAGTTCCTAGAAACATAGAAAAACAGGCATGTTCTAAAAAGAAAGTTTCCTACCAGCACTCCTGCCCTCCAGCCAAGAGTCACCAATGCCACAAAAACAGCAGCAGTCCTGGACATTAGCTGGTGGACTGGTTCACAAAACAGTCCTAGAATTAACACAAGACAACATCACTTTAGGCTCAGCAATCCTGAGTAATAAGAATTTATGTTAAATTGAGGGCTAAACAGAAACAGATGGATGGTGGCGACTTTTAAAAGCACAGAAACTGAAAAACATGGGGAAATAGATGAAGAACAGGAGCAGAGGGCTTAGATTATGATGGAGGAGACTTGGACTTTCTTTAAATCAAAGATGCAACTATCAAAAATTTACTTCTAAGAAGTGGAAACACCATCAGGAAAGAAATAAATCTGTATTTACCAGAATAAATAACAGAATATTGTATGATTAGAATTACAGGGGGCAGGAAAAGAAATTGATGCACAAAATCCATCTGTGATTCAGAAATCAGTAAGGATAAAATGAGAACTGCCAAGAAGTTATTTAAAATATGGAAGTTTTTTAATTATACGAATGAAAAGGAACCACAAGATGAGAACAAGTAGACTACCTTCAACTTTATTCACATTCCAAACACTAGCAGAGTTTTAATTTTGTATATGGAGCACAATAACAGAGAAGGGAAGAAAAAAAAACAACCAAACAACAAACCAAAAAACTTCTAGCTAAGAATCAAATGTCTGGAAATAGAAATTATTGCTGCTAACACAGAAGAAAACTTAAGAGCTCAATACACTCACCTGCAGGGACAAGATAATCACTGTTCAATTCTGAATGAAATGACTTGTGAAACTGCAAGTCTGACAAGCACGGATTTTTAATTGACTTATTTAATTGGGTGGCAGTTCCTGTCTAAAAAATAGCTAAGATACCCTTAAAAAATCAAGAAGCAGGCAAAAGCAATTTGAACAGTGGAGCTATCAGCCTGTTCAATTTCAACAGGACAAATATTCAGGAATTAATATAGTTAAAACAAAAATAAATAGCAAATATTACAATGGAACAGGTGCAATGAAGATTAATCTAAATCCTCCTTTGATAATATAAATAATTTTTGAAACAAAGGAACTGCATAGATTTGTCTTGAGACTTCAAAGAAGAGTTTTGTGACCAACGTTGCTTAACATTTTCATTGACAAATTCGAATCAGAAACCAGGAAGGTGTGAATAAAATTTAAATTACAGAATACAGATTCACAGAAATGCAGAGTTGTCTGAGACCTCTGCAAATTATTTAATACATCCCACTCCACTGAATGGGGACAAGCATCGTCAAAATTCAAAATAGCTTGGAATATCATCCTGCAATGGCAGGTTCATTTGAGCAGAATGAAAAGAATTTAATAGTGCAAAATACAAGGTGATCGACGTCAGGATCAGTAACTGTTTCTTAAACCACGATACACCAGCCAGAGATTATGAAGTTGGAGAAACTGTCTGTGTGCAAGGTACAATCTGACTCATGAACTCAGGTCATCTGGTGGGTCACAGATGCTAGAGCCAAGTTCCACTTCCTTTTCATCCTGGACTTAGCTAACAACTTTCCTGAGCTTCTACTGACAGTCATTTAACTGAGTAAATCAGTCTATAAAGCTAAAATGGCTAAAAATCAACCCTACACACAGTAAAAAAAGACTTGTGACCCATACTAATTTACTGAACCAGATCAATGTAAGGCCAGATGAGCACCAAGGCAGGACAAAGTAGACAGTGGGAGGACAGGATTAGCTTAGATATAACACAAAATTGCTGTCACAAGTCAGTGCAGAATAGCCGTAACTCCCAGTATAGCATGATTATGAAAAAGGTGAGTGTGATGCATTGACATGTAAGTAAAGGTATTGTCTATTAAGATTCAGAAAGAAAGAAAAAAGAAAGAAACAAGCAAACAAACAAAACAACACTAGAAAGAATCTGTGAAATAGGGTATCACATTTGCATCAAAGATGTTCAGCAAGAATTCAGATGGGAACAGGTGAAAAGGAAAGCAGTACGATGATTAAGAGAACTAAGGGTCTTTCCAAACACCAGGTGTGAAAGTTGATTCTTCAGTTTAGTAAGCGAACTGATAGTATGACTGTTCATAAACTGACAGCTCCAGAAATCTCGCGTAAGTGGAGTGCTGCCGTGCATAGACACAGGCTCTCGAGGAAGGACAGGCAGGGAAGACAGCACGGGCGATGCCTCAACAGCACACTGAACGCGGGTCAGGACAGTGCCTTTGCAGAGTAAGGGCTGGCCACATGCTGGACTGCTGGAGTGCAGGCAGCAGGTCCAGGGAAGCGATCCTTCCCCTCTGCTCAGCACTTATAAGAACAGTGTGCCCGGTTCGGGGCTCCCTGGTACAAGAATGCCATTAACAAACTGCAGCATATCAAGTGGAAGACCATCAAAATGATTTAGGGGGCTGCAGGACATGACATTTGAAAACAGCCCCAGAAAACTGTGCTTGTTCAGCCTGGAAAAGAGGAGGCTCAGGAAAGAGGGATCTAATTCCTTTATTCAGTTTCCTAGAGGCGGGTGACAGAGCACAAGGTCAGACTTCCCAGAGGTGCACAGCAAAAGGATGAGAAGCAACAGGACACAAGTTGCAATAAAAGAAATTCTGATAAAACATATAGAACACTTCACAGCAGAGATGGTCATACACTGGAAGAGGTCGCCCACAGTGACCTTAGGATCTCCATTTTTGGAAATTCAGAACTCAAGTGGACTGGGCCTGAGCAACCTCATACAACTTCAAAGGTTGCCCTGTTTTGCATGAAGGACGGAGGCAGATGACCTCCAGAGGCCTCATCTAGCCTGAACGGTTCCATGACTCCAATACATGGAGTGGAGAAGGAATAGTTCCAATTAAGTCAAAGATCAAAATCTAATAAAAAATTCCCCAGAACAGGTTTAGCCTGGTCTTGGACTCTGGAAGTTTAGAGAGTTTCTTTATATCAGAACAGCACTGTTATACAACAGCATCTTAATGTCCAGAAAGAACAACAGCAACATGAAATTCAATGAGCTTTTAGGACTTGATATGTTTATGGACAGGACTCTGCAGGGTGACCACAACATGAATCGACTTCAACTTTCAAGGGGACCTCAACACGTCCCTCCTTCATGACAGCTTTCTTTGGAGGAAACAAATCACTACCTCCTTCCTAGTCTCACACTTCCCTCACTCACCTGCAATGCTCAATCTTCTGTTTGCACCACTGTTTGTGTAACATCCCCCCCAGCCAGCACTAGTTACCTGTGCCTCAAGCAGAGGGTGTGACAAGGGCACTGCTGCAAAGGTCTTGTATGCTTGCTTGACATTGATGGGGATCTCATCAGGAGAGGGTGGTGACGGTGGCTTTTGCTACAGGGACAAAGACAGATGGTAAATTTAAACACAGATGTTAAAAAAAAAAAAAAAAAAAAGAAAAATAACATGGGGGAAACACAGCACAACTCTCAGCCTGCAAAGCCTGAAGAGTGGACTATACAAGGGACAGCTCCTGCAGCCTTCGACAAAAACATGAGCAGCTTATTGTATACATGCTATATAGAGCAGCACATGGATCACAGCCCCGTTTTATGGTGGAGGAATGATACTTCTGGTCGTACAGATTCTCACTGACTTGACCAGAATTTTGCGACTGATCTCTTGGCCAAGGGGCCACAGTGCTGTCACAGTCCTTAAGGATTTCCACCCAATTCAACTAGCATGTGCCTACTTGAATCAGTGGGCTTCTGGGGCTGCAATAGGATCCAGCTGACAGTTGACTCTAAGACCTACTTTGGTCTGACCAAGTCATATTTAGTTTATTAGAAAATTAAAGATAAGCCCTGGCCTTATCTGGCATTTCTGACTAAAGAGGCCTTCTTCGTGGGAAGGGATCTATTAGTCTCTTTTGGTTTTTGCAGTGACTATTATACTTCTGTTTATAAAATGACTAGTGTGCACTTCTGTGTACTTCAAGGCTAATTGTCACAGCCTCCTAAACCAAACTGGCAACCCATTTAGGGATCTATAATCTGGAGAAGACCTGCCTTTGATCTCTGATTTTCCCTTCACAGAATTCCACTTACTCAGAAATATCTGATAAGGTCCAAGAGGACCCTCCTACTGTTTGTCACTTGTCTTTGCTAGTCTTTTCCTTGCCTGTCTTCCCCATGACCCCTCCAATCACATTCAGGGAGGAAGAAGAGTTAGGATGATGTGCTCAAAGCATCACAGAAACGAATGGGAGTAGGAGGGAAATGACACCACCACCTTCCTTTCTACTAGAGAGCAAATCCCCTGTAGTTGCTCCCTTCCTTCAATCACTCTAGCTGCAGTAAGGTTCAGGTGTTTGGGGTTTATCTTTGTCCTAGACTGAGGCTATACTGTGTTGTTTGATGATGCTCCCTTCTGCATAGGCTAAGTAACAGCACATCAAAATCAGAAGATACTGTAAAATACAAGAATCTTGGCCAACTACGTCGATTATACATAGCTGTCTGTCTGCAAATCAGGTCTCTAATTTGGTATGTTATACAAGCTTCAATAAAATGAGAAGGGCTATACTGCAGGTCTACAAGTCTCCTGTCATGACAAAGACCAAAATACCTGAATCTTTCTCTCCCATCATCATACAGCCCAAGGGAATACGGATCTTTCAAAAATGATAATTTTACAAATCATAAAATTATCAGCAAGATGGTATTGGCTCTTGCTCAAAGATGCAGGACATTGATAAAGGTTCTGAAAGATTTATACCTCAACAGAATGCAACACCTCATAAAAAAGGATCTAAAACTGTAACTGCTCTGGGGATTTCAGCCACAATACAGTTTCAACAATACTAACTTCTTGAATGGGTAAGTGAAGACACCAGGCAAGCTGCTGAGGTTCATCTGTGTTAGAAAAATGAATGGGATGCACTGACCATGACTCGACTGTGAAGAGTGTGTGTTCTTACCCAGGGCATCCAGACTGATGCATAAACAAGACCAGCCTTAGCTAAGGCATATGATCTTTACACTACAAAATCACCAGTGGGAGGGTGTGTTCAGCCAACCCACCATAAAAAAAGTGGTACTTTAGCAACCTAGGGCAGATAGACATAGCTTAGCAAGAAGGAACTGCAGGCCACTTACAGAGTTCTGGATATTGAAGCACAGCTCAGGTTGCTGGAAGGGATTGGGGCTGTCCCCGTCCTCCAAATTATGTGAGGCAGCATTCTGTCGCACTCGGGAAAGAGGCTGAATGACACCTGGTTTGGTCTGCTTGTGTCAATACCACACAACAGGGGGAAAGGCAAAGGAAGGGGGTGCGGGGGGAGAGAGAGAGAGAGAGAAAAGAAATAAGCAGTTAGGGCAGCAAGACGTCTCTGCCATGCAAGACAAAACCATGCATCTCGAGCTCAGTTCCTCAGTTGTGCTGCTGACTCCAGCAACCAGACTGGGAGAGAGAGCCACTGAAACAAACACCAAGCAATGCCTCTGGTGCAAGTATTTCGGACAGGCAAACAGATGAGTCAGAATCACAACAGGACCAAGGGTTACAGAGAATTCCAGGACACAAGGAAGAATCTGCCATACAAGTAGTAGCTGCAAGAGTCAGAGGGGTATGGCATGAGTATGTCAAAGCTTGGAGAACATAAGCATCATGAATGGAAGATGCAGTTGGGAAACATCAGCCAGGAATGAGTATTGGCAAAAGCTGGGGATGAAAATGAACTGAGACCCAGCTAGGGCTCCGATTAGAAATGCAGACATAAGAGCAGAGACAAGAGCCTGAGATTTGACCTCAATGTCATCACTGTTGGAAGCCACGTGGAAGTAAACACAACATCTAATACTAAAGAAAGTAGAAGCAGGAATTGAGTAAGCCAGAAAAAACTACATGAGTGAAATCTGCAAGGGTAAACAGGAATAAAAGCTGCAAAAACGCTTGCAGCAAGTTTTCAAATTGACAATATTTAAGACTTAGTACATTTGTACAAACTTGAGGTGTAGTGGAGGACTGAAGAAGACAGCGTAAGAGCCAACAGTGAGACTTACAGGGCTGTAACTGAGCACACAGAGAAGGAAGAGGCAAGCTCTATGTGCTGCAGAATGCATGGGGACACTACAATAAGGTCTCATGGCAGATGTACTTACTGATTTACTGTCATCCTGTGATGTAATGAAGTTAATGGAAGCCTGAAAACAGATATAGAGGTGTAAATTTGAAGTCCATACAGGAAGCCTTTAATTTACAGTGCTCCATACACAAAGAAATACAAAACTGCCAACCTCTCCCCTGCCCCGCCGCCCTCCCTGTACAGGGAAGATCCCCCAAGTCCCATAATAACCCCCACCATACCTTCCTCATGCAGGGAGCAGTCCAGAGCTCACCCACAAGAGCTTCTCCCAGTTCCTCAGCTATGTGAGAAGGCTTTCACAACTCTCTCTGCACATCTGTGGGCACTGACCCCCACCGCCCCCCTCTCTGCTCCAGCTCAGTTGGTCCTGGCCCTTGTTTACACCCCTGCCCTCTGCACTTGCTACTGAGCTTGAGCAAAGCCATCAGCACCACAGCTTCTCTGCCAGGAAGCGTTCACAGATGCCATCTCAGCAGTGGCTAGCAGGGAGCAGTCTCCCGTGCCCTGGCCTGCCGCCCCGGGCGCTGCTCTCTGCGGCAAGCCCTCGGTGCGCACCAAGCCCAAGAGCCAGCCGGGGAACGCGAAGCCGGAGGAAGGGGCGAAGAGCAGCAGTGCCGGGTGAGAGCAGCACAGAGCAGCAGCGCACACTGCACACCAACAGGCACTTACAAAGCGGGTCTCCCTGCCTGGCAGGTGAGCAGGCCGAGGGGCTGCAGGCGTCTGGAGAGGGGCAATGCCAGGGAGGATCGTCAGGGAAGAGAATGGGAGAGAAAACGAAGAGACTGGGTTTTCTGTGTAAGAGGCTGAGACGAGCACCTTTCCCAGCACAGAGACTGCAGCCATCCAGAGCTGTCAGTGTCCCCACGCAGCTCCCTGCTGCCTGCCATGGAGAAAGCCCCTCTGCTCTCCTTGGCACGCACACACAGACCCACCACAAACACCACCTTCCTCCCCCTGCCTGCTTCCTCCCCCACCAGAAGCTCACAGAACTCAAGGCCAGGCAAGACCATCATGATACCAGTCTCAGGACAAAGGATTCAACTTCTCTCCGTAATTGTCTGAGAGCTCTGAAATAAGCCTATAAATTCTGGCTGGACTACAAGATGTCAAGCCCCAAGAATTTACGTTAAAAAATAGGTAATGGCAGAGAATTAGAGATGCAGTTCATTGGAACTTCTACTCTGGAGCAACAACCTGAAGGTCAAGTGTCCTGAATTCCCAGAACATGTACAAGCCACAAAGCTAGTGATTGCCCTGTGTCCTTCAGTCCTGCCTGTTGGACCTGTTTATCTAATCTGTTATTTTTATAATCTGCTCACAGTATTCAAGGTGAGGGCGCACCAACGCTGATAGATATTTTATCTTGACGTTAGATATCTCTTTTCAGAGAACTAGATCTACTAGATACAGTCTTACCTGACATGCAGGAGACTGCTGTGGAAGGCTTTGGTCCAAAAAGTATTGAATCATGTAAATGTGACAGAAGGATCATATACAGAATGCAGGGTTGAGAATGCCACTATTAAGGCTAACGGCTCAGCATTGCGACACCAAGGCATCTTTAAGAACAACTGCCAGAGTCACCAGTTCATAACGGCCATAGATGAAGTAAAGAAAAAAAGCCTCAAAAAAAAAGCATCAAAATGACACATGGACTAGATCTCAGAAATGAAAACAGTGAGCAAACCTGCTGATGACCTTAAAAGGCTAAAGTAAAGGACAAAGTAATGAAATTGGTTATAAATGCTTTAAGATATTAACAGAATCTCTCTTGGCATATGCACCTCTGAACAGAGGGATAAAAGAGAAAAACAAGAAAAAAGCTCTATAGATCATTCAATATCTTGGTCAAGCTACAGAGGATTCATGATACAAAAAACCTGAAGTGACAGAATAGACTACAAATTACCGCAAGTGCTACATAACAGAGAGTTTGAGACATCCAACTTAAAATTATGAAGACAAATGCCTGCATCTGCAGAAGTGCTCCTGGGCTGCTCTTAACTCCATAGAACGCATTAGTGAGATCTTGTTTATTCTTCTCAGAGCCCACGGAGGAGAGAACAAACAGTTTTATGTGGAAAGTTTCCACTGTCAGAGCAGCGACTGCTGTAAGAAGACAAAGTGGTCACCGTTGCCACAGGAATTCGATAATGACAAACTATTAGACTCTAAAGACAAACAATTTATCATTGAGCAAGCCCATCCTGAGTTAGGAGAGCAGATGACATTATAGCAATAGGGTTGCTAGTGGCAAGGACAACAGCACTGAGCCTCCAATGCCAAAACAGTGATAAACAAAACCATCAGGGGTACTACTAAAGTTGCCTATGAGAAGCTGGGACAAGGGACATTCCATCCAAATACTAGTTTGAAAAAACAAATTAAATCAATCACAATGAGTGATAGTCAAATATTGGAGCTGGCACCTAGAAAGATGTAGACTTTCCATCTCTAGAGGCATTCAAACGTTAATTGGACCTGGTCTTCAGTAACCTGATCTAATTGGACCTGCTCTGAATGTGGTCTTCAGTAACCTTCCATCCTAAACCATTCCATGAGCAGCTGCATGGCAACACTGTAGGATTTGGGCTTCTTTTTCAATTGAGAGCTGAGGATCTTTAAAAACAGAGCAAATTAATATCTAGATCTCTTTCTATTGTAGAATGAGGAGCATCATCCCGACCCCATTCCTTCTGGACAGAAAGAACCCAATCTCAAAGAAAATTTGTACTTCTTGTAATATGAAAACTTACAGACAAACAGCCTAAAGTAAACCTCTGATCAGTATGCAATCACTGTCAGAAAAGTAATTAAGTAAACATATGCAGCTGGAACAGAAAGTTCAGTATGCAGCCACTGTCAGCTGGAACAGAACGTACTGAAATATTACTACAATGAATAGTATTTTCTAATCTTATTGTGTCTCTGGTGGTCACTCAGTTTCAAAGGATCTAAGAATTGTGGAAGATGCAAGATAAGCCAAGGAAGCAACAGAAGATGGATTGAACTGTTGCTCACAATAGCTCCACTGTCCTATTTGCTGCTCCCAGCCACATGGTCCTGACCCTTCTCCAGAGTAAAGTGTTAATCGTCACCTCATCCCAATTCATCTCACTAAGCTGAAGTAACCTAGCAAAAAAGCAGACAGCTTTAGTCCAGCTTAGAGAACTGAAATGTCTAAGCTAAAGATCAGGTAAGAACCAGAGCTAGTAACACCAAACAGCTGGAGAGCAGTTGCACTCCAAAAGGAATGCAACAGAGCACAAGGTATAATTTTCAGTTCGTTCCAGCCCCATAATATAAGAAACAGTAACATGTAATGACTGTGAAAGGAAAATTTAAAAAAATCCATTTAAGAGTATTTAACTTCAAAAGGCTCGACTAACTTGTGAAACCTACTGCCACAGGATGAAAAGTGAAATCAAAGACTTAGCAAGATTTTAGAAAAGATCAGAGTTGTTCTGAGAAATAAGAACAGCTAGTGGAAATAGGTAAAGATTACAAAATAAAAAAAAAAAAATCAGAAGTTACAAGAAATAAAGAAATTTCCCATTTCAGAGTGTAAGCTAGCCTCTATGCAAAGAGTTTTAGAAAATCATTCCCTAGGAGCAGGCTAACCTATAACTGCTGCAGGATCCTTTTCTTCAGACCAGCTGATGTGGGTGGCTGGCGGCATCACAAACAGAACTAGGGACCTCTCTGGGAGACTGAGTAGCGACGATTTACAGACCTGAGATGGTTCTTCACATCCTGACTTCTCCATTTCTTCTGACGTATCAATTGCCAGAATTAAATAGTCTCTGTATCCCTGGATACTCTCAAGGATGGAAATCACATTCAGCTTCCTCTGCCCTGCTGCGGTCTTGCCCTGGAAGCATGCCTCCCTGCATTTCCCCGTATTACCTGTCCTGGGAGCAGTCTCACCTGCTGATTACTAGGAGAATAGGGGGTTTCACGCCTGGAATTTCCTGTCCCAGACTCGCCTGCAGGAGTCTGAAAGAGAGAAGACAAAGCTAGTCACTGTACAGCAGCAAATTCCATGCTTCTCCCTTAGCAAGGAGAGCACAGACATCCAGCCTGAGGCCAACTATGGGCCACCTTACCACACAAAAGCAGTTAGCATTGGGCTCAACAGCAGCTATCATATGGCAGAAACTTGCAAAAAGTGATAGAAACAGCAAGGGAATGACAGGAATGACATTAAACATTGGAACTGAGATCATATCCAAATGGCCTGCAAGACCAACTGAATCACGTTAAAGTCCTCTGCCTTGTAAGACATCCCTGGGAATCCTCTCCCCCTAAATTCTCATTAGCCCTCAACAGACTACGCCACAGTCTAGGCAAACAACCTTGTTGTATAGACACCAAGCAAAAAAAGCCACTCCCAACTGAAAGGAGACAAAACTCATCCCCAGCCATATCCACTGTCATCGGCCTACTGGCAAGACCTCTACAAGTAGCCCAGTGCCTAGGAAAGACAGGGCTCGCACCCCTTCCACAGGAACCTATGATCACCAGTGCTCAGGCTGAGCCAGTCTACAGCCAGTCCCAACAGCTACAAGAAGGAAGCAGTCCCAGTAATTACTTGCAGTCTGTCCGCAGGATTAAGGAGCATGATTTAAAAAGTATTTGAGAGGCCTAAAGATGGAAATGGGTCACGTGGGATTTAGAATACCATTTAACCAAGTCTAGGGTTCCGCATTCATTAATACCATACCCACACACTACTGAATCATGTTAATGTGATTCAAGTCAGCCTTGGGCAATTGCACTTCTACTGACCAAGCCAGGGGATGGGATCTGAAGTTTGTATTGGAGCACAGAAAACATCTGATCCTTCTTAGCACTGTAATGACAGAGACTCTGGTAGTATCAACTGATCTACTTTCATGCCTTATTGCTCACTCTGCTTCTGGCTACTGCCTTTCAAGTCTTCCCATGTGCCAGCACATGCAGCTTACCAATCCACCAAGGAAGGAGCTGTTCTACAATACTGTTTTTCAGGGAATTCGGGTCTGTAACCCATCTGACACATGACTGCTCCAGTTCTGGTGTCAGCATACAGGAGGAGAACCATACAGACAGGGGGAACAGATTCCTTTTGCCAGTAACATGGAATTAGATTATCTCCAGCTAAGTGTGATGCCCACCTCCAGACTGATGACAGCTGATTTGGCATAAAGTCTGCCTTCAGAAAGGGTCAGTACTTTGTGACCACTGCTTTTTCAAGCTCTTGAACTCTAAAGCTGGATGTCTGTAATATCCAAACCCCAGTCTTTGACTTTCAATATAATGAGAGGTTACAGAGATTCAACTACATGCCTTGCTCTATGCTTATCTGCCTGCACATCTGTAAAAAACAAATTCTCACCAAGGAACTAGGCTACAAACACCTAAGAGAACTACAGCTGGGTGGTTTTTTGTTTGGTTGGTTTTTCTTCTTTGTGTGGGCTGTTTGTTTGTTTTGCTTCTCTTGCTTTTCAGATCTTCTGAAAGTCTGAGAAAGGAAGAAGAGGAGAGTGGTGTGGTGCTAATACGGAACATAGTATTTTTGGGTCTAGTCCTTGCTCTGCCACAGGTTTCATGTGCAACAGTGAGAAAGTTAAATACAGACTTCCCAGAGCAAAAAGCAAAGGCTAGGTATATTGAAACGTGTCACTTCAAGGAACAGCATGCCCCTGGGCTGCAGATTAACTATGTCAGCTATACTGCCTCTTAGTTTTCAGAAGTCTAGAAACAGCTGAGTTTGTTCAGGCCCAGATACATAGGTGTGACACCACCACCATTCTTCTACAAGCCCTTCCAACTCTCCACTCTCACAATCAGAGCAGATAGGGAACACCACTGCTCCTAGCCTGACTCCTGCCCACCCCAGAGAGACACTGGGGAAGGTGCCTGATGCCACTGCCTCCCCTCAAAGAAAGGCTTAGCAGTGTCCACACTTGGCAATAACGGGGGTACATTAGTGGCTGGCAGACAATTCCCTGACCGTCAGCGGCTGACAGCCTCTGCACACAAGACTGGAGAAGCACTTGTGTTAGGTGGAACCAGCTCCTGCACAGGCCTCGTGCTGCCTGGCGTCGGGGGTCCAGTACATGCGCAGGGGTTTAGTAGAATGCAGGTGGCCTTAACTGCGTGATTGCATGCCACACATAGCGTGCCATGGGACTGCTTGCCTTGGAGTAAAGGTTGGTCTTCAGCACTCCCCCCCTGCCATAGCCGAGGGGTGGGCCCCCCAGGCAAGCCTTGCCTGCTGCTTTCCCCTTGCGGTTAGCCACCACAAAGGGGTTCTCACTGAAGAGGATCGGCTGAGAGTCGATCATACACTCTTGCTCTGGCGTCTTTGGCATCTGGTCCTGGGACAAGGGACAACCTGTGGGATCCTGCTCGTCTAGCTGGGGCTTTTCTGCCCTGCTCGTGCACTTGTCAGGTGATGCAGGGTCCTGAGGAAGGCCAGCCACGCTTCCGATGATCGGGCCTGCAGCTGTGTCTGGGTATGAATCCCGGCTGTCCTGTGCCACTGGCAGGGACAGCACAGCACAGTCGCCCTCCATTCTGGAGCTGGCCGCCTTATACTGAACAAGCTGAGAGGAAAACAAAAGGATCAGAAAGAAATAAGGAGAACAGAGTAAAGGAGAGGAGGGAGAAAATACTGAGCAGCTGCTGATGCTGAAGGATAGGGGAGAGGAGAATTCCAGTATTAATGCCCACACCACCACCCCTTCTCTCTCTACTCTACCACCAATCTTGTGAGCCCAAATGCTACTTCCAATAGAGGACCTTGCTGTCGGCATGCAATACATACACCAAGTAGTTGACAGGCACAAGCACACTCCCTGTACCTTACCAGCTCTCATACACATTCCAGCCTGCACTTCAGAAGCTCACCAGTAACACTTCAGCTCTCTAGCAAAACTGATTGCCTGCACAAGCACACATCCTCTCCCACCTCACTGCAGCACATTCTCAGTTCAACTCCGTCACACAGTCAAACACCAGTTGTCTCACTCCAACATACTTTCAAGTAGTACCAGCATGGTCACGCAGAGTAAGACCTCTCACCTCATTCCAGTGCATTTTCATAGTTACAGTTATCATCATATTGCCTACCACATGCATTTCTATCACACCTGCATGAGCAAATGGCCCCACTTCATCAAAATACACACCAACAAGTAACAGAGCGTTAAATAACAGCTAAAAGAGCACAGATCCCTTTGAGCACTCTTACTGAAGGCAGGTCTGAAACAGAGCTCCAGTTCTGCCTAGGCAAAACTATACCCATCCAAGACGAAGCACTGACCTTTCCTCTTTTAAAACTATAAAAGAGAGATTGTTACCCCAGTCAAAGCCTTCTTCAGGGAAGCAGAGATAATCAGAGAGCAATGATCCAATCTCCTTCTACCCAAGTGCCTGCCGAGGAGCAGAAAGACCTCCTCTGCTTAGAGCACTTTCTCCAGCTCCTGTGTCATGGCAGCATTCACAAAAATAGCTCTCAAGGGCTGGGTGGGCTGGTGACTACAATGGCAGCTGAGAGGCTCAGGAATTTCTGAGGCCCTCCTCTAACCCCTCAACCCCAACCCAACCTAACGCAGTGCTTGGCAGAGCCCTGGCTCATATCATGTTTCTTCAGACAGTGATGCCTGTGCTACACTTAGAAATTTTGCTATTGTAGCTATGTGACTTTCCAATATAAAAAAACTCTACCAAAAGAAACTCCGAACAAAACACCCCTAAATTCCACCCTTCTTTTCTCAGAGTACCATAAACTACACTATCAAGAGCTCTAGCACACAAAGTTATGCAAGGCAAAAAGTGCCTTTGGGAACATTAGTTGTTCATTGGGGATGCTGTAATGAAAACACTGCTGGCAATCCACCACTGCAAAGTGGGTTTGTCGGTCCTACAGCCAGCCCCTCCAACACCACTGCCGCTTGCCCTTGCAAAGCAGAAGAGCAAAAACACTGACTAAGCCAGGTCCCAGGTGAATCCCACCACCAAGGCCTACTTTGCTTCGCACAAAGGGAAAAAATAAACAACACTTTTAGGGCACTGTGGAGATGGGCATCTCAGCAAGACTGCATGAAGTCCATGGGGAGCATCAATCCCTATTTTGTTCATGAACATGACTGGAAGGGAGCTTCATCTACCCCTCTCTTTAATCTCCAGCACTTCTGCTGCAGCAGTGTATTCCAGTGCAGGATGCCTCGCTCCCTCTACTTCACAGTGGGCTATTTTTATCAGACAAGCAACAATTTCTATTTCAAGTAAGCAAAGATTTCAGCAATGCAGTATGCTTTTCCCAGCCTTGCCCCTGTCACTCCCCAGTCTAGTAGACAGGCCAATCATGTTTTACCCTGCATCCTCCAAGGCAAAGACAGAAGAAATGCATTTGCAGTTCTGATCCATCACTTTGCCCCAGACACTGAAACAAATCTAATTTTAAATCTAATGAACAAGTACAGAGAAAGAATTAATGGCTACAAATTGAAGAGAAATAAGAGTCAGACTAGAAAGTACAGATTGTTAATTAACTAACCATGGTGACACACTACTGAGTGATGTAAAGTCTCTGTTTGTTATAGTCCAGAAAGCAAAACACGATTTTAAATGTTTGCAGTGGCTAGATGCAGTCATTCATGGGTATGGTTTTCAAGCTTGTACTATGCAGAAGACACAGACTATAATAGATCTTTTATTGCTGTGACGGCAGTATCCAGACACTGTAGTGCACTGGGTACTCTGCAGACATCAACTTACTGAGCAGCTGGCACAGCCGGTGGGCATCACTGAGAAGAGCATTCTTATGCAGCTTTCAAGTGGAATTTGTCAGTTGGGGTTTTAAAAGTATGCAGACAAAACAGGCTCACATCTCAGTAAGCCTTTGTTAAATCTTGCTCACAAAAGGACCAATACACATTAATAGAGATTAATCCAAGAGAGACAACTATCTGCTCCTTTCTTTAGAGGAAATCCTCATGACAAATTCCACCCGCAATCTACAGTGGTCACAACAGAGGTCTGCACTTCCTCCTGTTCAACAGCACGAACAACAGGCCCTGCACCTCTCTTGCAGGAACTATATGGCAACAAAAGATATGCAAACACTGCTTAGAGGAGAATATACGTGGTGAGAAAGTTGGCCCAGACACAGGAAGAAAGAGAAAAATGCTTGGGGAACTGGGCAATAGTATTACTCATCTTAATCCAGTCAGACTGTCTGGAGATAGAAACCTGTTAGTTGAGCCGCCTGCTTTTGTGCTGGCTGGACTGATCTGTGTGAGTCTTCCAGGCAGTCACCAAACAGGCAAAGTGCAGCTCCTGAAGGAATGCCAGAACCTTGCTGTCCTTGAAGCCTGTATCTCCCTGCACTCACAGTCTAGGCAGATGTATTTTTTTAAACAGAGCAAAGACAGGGCTGGGCAAATGACAGCTGGAAAAAATAAACATGGGCACCAATTGGGCTTTCCCCTGAAATGGGACATTTATAGATGCCGCCCATACACCCTGGCATTCCAGTGTGTTCAGCTCCACATTCCAGTGCCAAGCGTTCCTGGGCTTATATAGACTGCTAATGCACAAGTTCCCAAATGCTGCTCTGCTCTGGACAACAGAGGACTGTTCAGCAAAGAGGCAGCTGCTTGCATGGGGCTGGATCTCCCCTTGTTTCCAGCTACTAAGTTACACTAAGAGATGCTAAAAATATGTTAAAACTTTTCCTGATTACACTTTTCTGTGTGAACAGCTGGGAGAAAAAGCTGGGGAGGAATAAAATGAGACAAAGCCTGAGACAAAGCAGGGCACTAAGCAGTGTGAAATCAGAAAAGTAAAAGAGCCTGAAGTCAAAGAGAGGATAGATGAATAGGAGAGGAGACCTGGCTGGATGGAATGAGATGGAGACAGTAAAGGTAAAAGAGATAATCCCGAAACAGCAGAATGGGAATGCAGAATCTGATGATGACAGCAAAAGGTGATCTTGCTGCAACAGGAGGAAAAGAATGGAGGTGAATACTGAGGATGTGTGTGAAGGTGCAGGCAGAAACCCAGTGGAATAGGTGTGATGCAGGGAAGATAAAACATGATCGAAAGAAGCAAAGATGGAGAGGTGAGGTGAGATTTTAAACAACACAGGAGAGACAGATGACTTTGTAATCTGTGAAGTTTGTGAAATCTGGATTTTCTCTTGGCTGAGCTGCCACTACGTATCAGGGACTGAAATGCAGGTCACAGGGGCAGGAGTATCCAAGGCTGTATCAGGGCTAAGTCATGATATGCAATCACTGCCACCTTGCCTTTTGTAGTCCTAGGTGGATCCTGACTTTCTTTTAATACTTTTGGTATCAGCACACTGCATCCCTCCTCAAACACCATCCCACAATTAATTTCAACTAAGTTTTGCACACAACATTGTAATCTTCTGTGTCAGGAAGAATCTTTCCCTCCTTCCTCTGCAGCTTTCAGTAGTTGCTTCCTCCCATGATAAAACCCCTGTACACTCCCATTCATATGTATCCTCCTCTCCTGCTGGGCTGTTCTTTCTGCCTTGTTCAAGACATGTCCTTTTGCATCTTGGTAATTATACAGGGCACCTCCCTTTCCAAAACAGAAAGCAACCTGGCTCTGCTCTTCTCATTTTCTTATTCTAATCATTCTTTTGTGACTACCTCCCATTTCTGAGTGTCACAGTCTAGCACAGTTCTGCTTCCCAGTTTTCCTCTGCAGAGAATATTGTCATCTCACACCAGGGCACAAGGAGGGGGCAGATAACAGCACAACCACGGCTTCTCCCACACAGGGACCCACGTCTCAACAGCCCCTCACTTACAGTGCGATTGACTCTCTGTAAGCCACTGCTGGGCAAAGCAGCCAGGGTCCGATAGTCCAGTCTCAAAGGTTCACTGGTGATATTCTGGAGAGGGGCAAGGGGGGGAGCAAAAAAAAACACAAACACCAGGAAGAGATCAGGCCAGAAGTCAACTAAATCAACTGGAAAGAGCAATTAAAAGGAAACCACCCCTAGTAATAACCAAGGCCTTATTGCTAAACTCTGCAGAAAGTTCCCATTGTGTGGAAATGAACCTGAAATTGTTCCAAACACAACCACGGGGGCCCATGACAGAGGCCAGGCTTGAGAAATACTGCAGAGAACATGTCGCTCTGTGCCCTGGTCACCCACTGGTGCACAGATCCCCACCATTCCTCCTGCCCCCACGTGCACACATCCACTCCCCTACAGGGAGAGAGGAGAATGTGACATACATACCAGTTTTCTCCAAAGAGCATCCAGAAAAGTTTCCAGTCTGGATCTGGAGACATTTGAGAGTACAAATCTACAACTCCTCTACAGTATCTTTTCTCAACCTTAACTCACCCTCATTGTATAATTTCGTTTGATTTTGTTTCCCATTTGCATTTGTCTGCCTTTCTAATTCTAGCCATTGTTCTTCACCATTCCTTCCTCAATCATATTACAGATTTCTTCATTTCTGGTATCTTCTCTTATACCCAAAAGTCAAGTCTTTTGGGGGGGCAGAGGGGAAAGTGGAAAACAGAAATTATGGAAACAAACGCTTTTAGAGATTTCTCCAGCCTTCAAGTCCAGTTGCATCCCTTTTCTGCGACTCTCCAACCCTCCCACCATGCTCCTCACCTCTGCCTCCTCCTCAAGTTGCTGCGTGGCTGCCTCCCGCTCCCTACGCATCCACTCCTTCCATTGAGACAGGACAGAGTCAGAGCAGCATCCAAGCAGCACAGGCAAAGAGAGAGGGAAAGAGGTCAGCACCATGCTGGGCAGTAACTCCAGGGGAGGGACAGAGGAGCATGAACAGCATTGGCACCAGGAAAGGGCGAGCAGAAACCTAGCACATACATCGGGCCCAGGGAAAGAGGAGCTAGAATTCTGCATGAGCTTGGTTATCGCCAGCAAAACGGATGGGAACAGACACCCCATATAACACAAGCCAGGGTGTCACCAGATGAGGGGAAGGGAGCAGAATGTCTCTAAGATCCTCAGTGGGGTCAATCCTGGGGAAAAGCAAAGGTTGCTAAAGACCCCCTCCCCCAAACACAGGCTATGTCATCACCAAGGGAAAGAAGAAGATTGCTTATTGCTAGAAGAGACATCTTGACAAAGCACTGACTGGAGAGGCTGGAAGGGAATGGAAAAACAAATCTACAGAGCACAGGCCTAGCTGTCACTAAGGAAAAAGACCTAAAAAAAAAAAAATCACATGCTTGTTAATAGCATCACAGCCAAAAGACTATATATAGAGACAGAAATTGTATAAGCATAAGGCAGGGCTTAAAGTCAGCTGGTCAGCTCTCAGTCATTCAGCACAGCACAGGAATACTGTAAGAGTGACCAGTGACTAATCTCACAAGCCCCAGCTACGGGCTTGCTTCCAAGCTGCAAGAGGAAGGTAATAATATGTTACTTGTCTTAAAGAATTATTTCTGTGCACTTGTACTTTTGTGACTTTTTGCCCAGCATCCATGCTACACAGCAAGGGCTGTGGACAAAAGCAACATCATTCTTCTGTTCTGTTGTGTATTGCAACCCTCCTGACTGCTCCTCCCAAACAGCAGCAACCAGATGGTCCAGAAGTCCCAAGCCTAGGAGGATGGGAGGTGGAAGGCATCTGAGAAATACAGAGGGAGCTAACTGAAAATTCTGATAAGCACCTAGGCCCTTCTCTTCAAAGTTTCTGTGCAATACCACGAGCAAATAATCAGTGTCCCACATCACACCCCCGATCTCCAGACAATAATGAGCAACATGAGAAGAAACTAACACTCCGGAGCATCACAAGACCCAAAGAGATATTTAGGGATATTTAAGCTAAAGCATATTCTGAAGCTGGTTATGCTTATTTTGGACAAGCTTATCTGTAAGGTGAGTGTTCAAGCTGACAGTAATCTTGTATGTGATCCTTCTCTGAGGTCTTAAGAGGGGCAAGAGCACCAGCGAGCCCAGATGGAGCTGCGGAACATTCAAAGTTCATTTCTGACAACATCTTGGGAGCCTGGACAAGCTCTGGAAAAATGACTTGAAAAGTAACTACAGCTACAGAGCTGCGACAGAGAAATGCGCCATGAATCAGTCCATGGAGATTTGGAGTTACTAATATTGCTACTAGAGACCAAATTATCAAAGAATTGAACTTAACAGCCGTATGCAGTGAGTGCAACAGTGTTATGTGAAAACTTCTACAGGACTAACAGTGAGTATAGCAAAGCCAAAATTCTTCTCATTTCTTCAGCTCACAACCTTACTGTAAGGAGACATGTTTGATCTCTATCACTCTTGTGCAAAAGTGAACATGAAACATTGAAGTATTAGAGGAAAGGTCCAAAAATGTTGACACAAATAGTATTCCTGAGGATCTGGCACTGAGGTGGGAACTTCCTTTAGCACTACAATAGCTACCATATAGTGCTGGCTCCATCACTGGTATAAATTTAATCATCAAAACCAGTAACAGAGACAGAATCCCAGTTTCAAGGTCATGCTAAAAGGCAACAGCAGAAAAATGTGTCTTTGTTCTTGGGTCTCAGGCCATGGATCCTGAGACATCAGAGGAGTCTGGAGCATCCACCACAACCTCCTCCTAGCAACCTAATGCAAGGGGCACCAAAAAATATAAGATATTTTAAAGGCACAGGCAATTCTGGAGGGGAGTCTTGGTCTCTGCTGATCACCAGGCTACAGGCATACTTCTCAGACTTGTATGAGAAGAGGTTGGGATAGACATCGCTGTAATTATACTAAGCCCTACTACAGTGAGAGAAAAGGCAGTATATATGGGAATACAGACTTTAGAAGTCCTTAAATACACGTCACTGCAACCTCAGAATGTTGCTTTAAAATCTATCAAAAGTAAAACATCCAAGAAAGATGAACCACGATTACTGTGCATTGTTCAGCCTCCAGGAAGAATAATGGTATTTGTTGTAAGATGCTCATCATTGTTTTGAAATATTGCTGATGGCTGAATGACTAGTTATTACTAAGGGTTTTTTCTTTCAAATTAACCATTTTAATAAAATTTCAAGTTTAAGTTTTCCATAAAAAGCTATCATAATACCATTGGCGCTTTTTAAAATGAGATATGGCCAAGGCTACGTCACCAGTCATAAAGTTTTTTCTGCTTTTTTTCCACAAAGTCTCAGGGCTATTTTTAAGTAATCCCAGCATAAATTTTGGAAAAATTTTTTATCTATCTAAGACTGAACTAATGCAACCCGCTCAGACAGAACAGCATGGTTTTGGGGCCAGACTTGCTCTTGGTTTATCCAGAGGTGTTAGAAATGCTGATAATGACTCATAATACCTGAAGTCTATAGTACCTGAAGAATATGCAAATCTATATGCTACTAACATAAAACTAGTAGGAACACCCTTTGCTGCAACACTAACACTACAAAATCAGGTCTTCTGAAACCATTATACACCACTCTCAGTGCCTTCCTAGGCAAGGAACAAGAGATATCATAGGAAAAACCTAAATCTGATCTAAATTGGCTCTGCTCTGAGCTGAACCAAGTGACTTGTGGAGGTCCCTTTGTTATTATTCATAGAATCATAGAAAAGTTTGGGTTGGAAGGGACCTTTAAAGATCTAGTTCAACCACCCTGAAATGAGCAGGGATGTCTTCAACTAGATCAGGTTGAAGATTATTCTATGAAGTCGTTTCAGTGGAAGAATTCCTATCTAAGTATAGATCTCGAATACCATCAGAACACCTTGCAGATACTTAGGACAGGACTTATTCCTGCACATGCTGACATCAACCTAAGCTGTAGGCCAGCAAAGATAAAGCAAAGCTTCCAAAGGGAGTCTGCAATGCCCTCAACCCTTCTGTCTCTTTACCCCAGTCTTTTGTAAAATCATACCCTGCATAGCCCACTGCAGTCACTGACAAAAGGCAGATTAGGATTATATAAATATAAAATATATATAAATTTAATGATTACACATATATTGTGCCAGAAAGGTCATATGGCCATTTTCTTGTTCATTGCTCTGTCCTCTTACAGTCTGTGCCATTGCCTATTCAAAACCTTGGCTGTTTTTTCCAAAATAAGTAAAATCTCAAGTGTGGACTAAGTTATAAATATCACCTCCATCCAGAACAGCAAACACAACTACACTCCTGTGGGGTGTAATAAATGTAAAAAAGGCTGAGTGATTATGCCTACAGAAAGACCCTAGACAAATATAAGGTATATCTAAATTGGAAACCTGAAGAAATGCCTGCAAAAAGTACACGTACTTATCTGACAGGAAAAAAGATTCCTATTTGACAATACTGAAGAATTCAATTTTCCCTCATCTTCCAAACGAATCTGATTGAATAAGTTACAGTTGCAAGAGGGATAACTAGAAAGCCCAAGTCCTTGAGGGGCTTGACGTCTGCTAATCTATTTCTGCGAAAGGCTAAAATAGTGGGCAGAGATATAAAATTCTCGTAACAAATCAGAAAAATGATCACATAAACTGAGGAGCACAAACTTGGTGATTAACAGCACCACTTCTTCAAATCAGGGCTACTTTGAGCTGTGTGTTCTCAGCTTTGCTCATAAAAGTTCTGTCAGGTCATGGAGTGCTGTACAGAGAGAATTGATTAAATGCGGGACTTCCAAACTAATAGGCCATTTTTCTCAAAGTTGCAGCTTGGCCAGAAAGTACTAGCAGGTAACAAAGATGAACTCTGTAAATAACAGAAGAGTACCATCAAAGAGGTACATAGGAAGGGTATGGCAAAGCCAAAAAGCAGCTAGAGTAACTGAGCAGCGCACTGAAGAGAGAAGGCCCAAAGTCTGTCATAGCACTAACTGCTAGGTAGAAATAATCTGTGGCATTTTGCTTAGGGCTCACAGGCTTGGCAGAACCTCTGTCAAGAACAGATTCTGCTACATGAAAAATCTCTCACCACTTTCTCCATTTCTTCTCTCTCCCATTGAGTTGCTTCTCTCACCATTTCCATCTCCTAGGAGAGACCAAAGTTAGAGCCACTTCACCCACTGCTCTCTCCCCACTTGGAGCACCTGTAACCTCATGAAGATTTCAGAGTCCCATCCTAGAGCATTCCTGATGAAAATGCTGGGACCCGCTAATCCCATAAAAAGGAAGTCCATTACCCGTTACATTGCAGATTCTATGCACCAAGGGAGACAGAGACACCAGAGATTTTGAGAAACTTTTTCCACTCCATAACATTGTCCCAGTTGTAGCCAGAACACCCACCTTCTGAAGGATCTCCAGTTCTTCAGGGCTTAAATCCCGATCGATAGAAGAGATACTTTCCAGGCTATTCTTGCGCCCAATACCAGCAGCAAAAGGGTTTGCAATAATTCCTGGGGACATCTACAAAACAAAAAGGCAACAAAACATGGTGGAAGCCCACAGTATGCCATACAAAAAAATTCCATATCCTAGGCTCACAGACAGAGAGTGCCAAGATGATCCTAGGCAAGTCAGAACTCCTTCACAACTTGAAACCTTATCTCAGCTGTCAATTACTCAAGGAACTTGAGGACTAAGAAAGATGAATTTGAATTGAAACAGGTATAGAAAGGGGATAGGGTGACCAGGGATTGGGTACGTAGTCTAGTGGACAATAAAAAAGTTTACTCGCTAAGCCTTGAAAAAAGAAATCTGAGAAGGCACAGGACTGCTGGGAGTGTTTCCCTGTGGGGAAAGGCAAACACCAGTGAACAGACAGACAATTTACCTTAAATATAACACCGGCACAAGAAAAAACAGGCATAATTAACCTGGAGAGAATAAACTTGAAAACTACGTTTCTAACCAGCACAGTCATGTTGTGAAACAGTTCTATAATCAGCAGAAGTGAGACAGGCTCTAGAGACTACTGCTTTTATGAACTGACAACCACCTCCAGTTCATGTAGCAGGAGACCAGACTTTGAAATCTGGAACCTAAAAAAAAAATAAATCTACAGCAAAAGGTTAGGAAAATCCAGCAATCTTCTGTGAAGAAAGCAGTGGGACCCTTGTGGCACCGGTCACTACGAGGGCACCCTGAACTTAAGCTCTCACCTCAATGGCAGCTGCAGCCTTCGGATCAAAGCCATCACACACGAGCACAAGGAGCGCATCACCCACGCTTCGGAGTATCTGTACTGCTTCTGTATGCGTCATTCCCAGCAAACTCTGGTGATTCACCTCCAGGATCCGCATTCCCACCTTCAGACGGCCATCCCGGGCTGCAGCCCCGGAGGAGCTCACCTGTAACAAATGGGGGGAATCAAGGAATCACCTAAGGAGGTAAGAGAAGACTGGAGAGCCCTTGTATGGGGGCCATCAGGAAGAAGGAATGAGAGAGGACAGCATACAAAGGAAACAGGGAGAAAAGGCTGTGGCTACAAGTTGGGGAAAGTGTCTGAAAGTACTTATATATAACTTATGGAGAGGGTAGAAAAGGGAGAGCATGTACAGTTTGGTAGAGGAAGCAGGTGTGGAAAAAATCTCTTATGGGAGATAAAAAGAATCTGTATTTGAAATGTGTTGTCCCAAGGAAAGAAGCTGCTTTTGTTTTGTCAATGAAGCAGGTGAGAAAAAGCTCTTGCATTTATCTTCACAGAAAGGAAAGTATGATTTTTTTTTTTTTTCTTGGGAGAGACGGAAAATGCAAGCATAGGGATAATTTTTGTGGATAAAGATAAATGAGGCATAAAGACTTTTCACTGTCTTTGTGGTAGAGACAGGCATAACAAATTACACGTCTGTCATTTTCCATCCTTTGGTTCAGAGAAAGAACATGTAACTCCTATTTTCTTTCCTCAGAAAGTCACAAGAACTCATACTTGCCTCACGTACACAAGCTGTCACAAGGGAAAGCAATGACATGCAGCATATTGACAAGGCACATGAAAGTCAGAGATTGTCTTAAAGAGTGCAAGTATCCATATATGTTTGAGGAGAAACAAATATATTGAAGTACATGCTTTGCCACCAGAACAAAGGCAGTAGAGGCAAGGAATTTTGTTCAGTTTTTCCCCCCTTCAGAACAGGGAAAAGAGACTGTAGGACTTGCTGTGGACAGAAAGTGAAAGAAAAGGGGAAAAAATCAAAAACCCAAACACATGCAAACATAAGGCTCAGGAGAAACATGCAAGCTGGGGAAGTGAGGGGGGGGAAAAAAAAGCAAAAAAAATAATTGAACAATGGTAATAGAAGAAGCTACTATCAGGAACCAGACAGAAATACAGGATACAAAATGCCTTACGGAAAGGAACAGAATCACCAAATGGGCATTATTTTTTCTAATGGGAAATAAAAAAGCCTGGAACAAAATGGGATGTATACAGAGTCAAGCTAGATCAGATAGAGACCTTGGTAAACCTGGTATATAGACAGACCTCACTGGGAACATCAGAGACAAACAAATGGCTTCAATTCAAAGGCCCAGTCTCAAAGTCAAAGAACCAACATGACTAGGCTTTACAAAGAGAATTATGACTAGTGCTACTCAAGGGCTTCGCAGAAAGAGTATGTCAATGTCAGGGATCTCAAGCAAAGCCTGTAGACCTATGACAAAAGAATAAGGAGAGCACAAGGACACACAGCAGTGGTGGGGGAAAGACAAGGACATGTAGGACTCATCAAGGTAGGGTGGAGGCAGAGGTAACATCACAGGAAGTAAAGAAAGAAAGGACGGACCACTGCACACCACGTATTACTGGGATCAGAGAGAAAAAAAAACTAAAACCAAAGGCATGGGTGTTTATTGGATGAGAGCTGTTTTGGAGAAAAAAAAAAAAAAAAAACAACAGATAAATGTTTAATAAAGTACCTGTAAAAAGAGGAGAAAAAATGCTGCATGCATTTTTATTTAAAAGGTTTTGGGGGAGGGAAAGCAGCCATGCATGCCTACGCATAATTTCTTCAGGGCTGTAAAGGAAAACATTTAAGTGTGTGTAAGTGCATGTGCATGCACAAAAGTGGACACATGCAGCTGAATGGAAAAAGACCAAGTACTCACATTTTCTTTTCCAGGGAGAGCAAGTGCATAAGTGTGACAGTAGAACACCCAGAAATAATGGGAGGAGGTGAAGTTAATGTAGAAAAATGTCCTTAATGCCAACTGTCATCTGTATTACTGATATGTCACTGAGGTACACTGAGCTATCCCCATTGAGACAGATCATGAATTTCAAATTGCAGATGTAATTTATACTTCTCATGGTATTCAACTTGCAACACTTCATCAAGAAGGTTTTAAAAAAGAAGCAGCAGGTTACAACTTTTTTAAAAAATGACGATTAAGGGACTCAATGGAAATGCAAATTAAGAGAAACTAAGGAGAAAGAAGATATTAATCGGACATCCAAAGAAGAGAAAAATGAAAAAGCACTACTTTGTGTCTCAGTTACTAGAAATACACAGACAAAATAAGAAAAGCAGGAAAAACACTCTGGTTAGAACAGGTAAGAGAGATCAAGCTGAAATAACACAGTTGAAGGGAGAGCAGAAAAGTTCAGTGCTTTGGTTCTCCACAGGCTAAAACAACTACTGTTTAAGAAAAAAAAAAAAGGAGGGGTAATGGGTAAACTAACCCTGCAATGGGGCTAAACTATAAGCCTTCCAAACCCCTAAATGCTGTAACACTGAAGGAGCTAAAACCAAACCTAATTATTAAAAACAATTGTCGGTTACAATAATCTTAGGTTTTCTTTTATTGCTACAACAAATATTGCAGTTGAATGTGCAACTATTACTTTGATAGAGTGAATTGACTCTTGTAAACTTTAAAACTCAGATAAAGAAGTTGTATCTAAGTAATAATGAACGCTGAGTATTCCCTTTCTTTGAAGGTAGCCAATTATTAGAAAGAGTTAAGTGGCAATTATGGGGTGTCCACCATCCAGCAAGGATTATTAAGACCTCTAGAGCTAGAGTAGAATTTATACCCTACCATAGCAGCTAAAGAGGGAACCAGTGGTAGTAATGTGAGCATCCAGAGTCCCTCTTTGGTCGGCACCAAGACCAAATAGTACACCACTTATCACTACGCCCCGTTGCTAATGAGAAAGGGGTGGCAATACTTTCTGGCAAGAGTCAGGAGGAGCATAAGCTTATACACAGTGTATTACTGAAAAGAAAATGTGCATTACTTCTTGGGGAAAAGTGACATGACAAGTAAGTATGCATACAACCAGTCATTTACAAAGGAAAGGGAACAAAATTGCATAAATGATGCATGGCACAGGAGGAAAGGTGAGCAATTCATAATGCTTTCAATGAGAGGAGGAAAGATCATGCATGTCTGAGAAGCAGGAAGGCCACAAGCACTTGAGGGAAGCAACAGGAATGGAGGGGAAAAGGAAAGATGGATGACTACATGTTTTAGAAAAAAAAGCAAGAAAAGAAATGCAAGGCAAAATAAAAGCAAACATAGGAAATGAAAGAAGAAATTCTGTAGCTGTTGTAGAGGAGGAAATCTGAAAGGAAACAGATGTGCCTCATTCAGTGGATGGAGAATACTCCAGGAGAATTGACGTACCCAGTGAAAAGTGGAGAGAGCATATCGAACAAATTCCACCAGGATCACCCTTTTCCCTAGCAGCCCTTGCATGCAACCAAGTTGCAGAGTTAGTGGTCTGGTACCTTAGAAATGAAGATGCCTTCATCAGTGGGATCAAACGGATTTCCAGCATGACCTTTTGCTCCACCCCGGATACTGATGCCCAGCTTTTCTCCTGGAGCTTTTTCAATGCATATTTCCTGTAAGCACAGAAAGGATTTCCTTGTTTCTGGGTCAAGTTCAGACTGGAATTGTTGAGAAAACACTTCTAGTAGCTGGCCATATTCTAAGTACCCTGAAAACGACCTGAGTTAAACCCCTCACTCATTTAGCACAATTTATTCCTTTTGATGAGGCTCTGCCCTTTTCTGTATTTCTGTCTCCTGTTCAGGTCTGGTCTTCATGAAATCGGGTCATTCTCTGATCACAGTATCACCATGGGCATGGCAAGAGACCCTCCACAGTCCTCAACTGTATATATACTTATTACAAGAGACTGGATTCTGCCAAAAGAGAAGGAAATTTCAACCGGAAGTTGGGTTGTATCCTAGTCCCAGGCTTTCAGCTAGATAGGAAACTGCCATCAAAAGTGATCCTTCTGTCAAGAAGAGTGAGATTCCCCCCGTTCTCTTACTCAGAACCTACCTGCATACCAGGTGGTGGCGGATCTCGCCTTACTAGCATAGTCAGCTCCTGGGTGTTTGAGAGCAGGGCATTCACTGCTTCTTGGTGGGTAGCATGGCGCAGGTCAATACTATTTACTTCCAGGATCCTGTCCCCTACACGGAGTCCACTGCGAGATGCCAGTCCACGGGGAATGACCTACAAAGAATCATTAATATTACAATTAGAGAAGGAAATTCCATGTCTCCTTGGAGAGACACTGACTGTGTCCCTAGGCTATACCCTTCAACATCTTCTGAGGCCTGTTTTGATGACTCCCCTCTGCAACCAAAGTTCCCCATGAGGTAACATATCTGTGAACACTGACAAAGAATGAAATGAGATTTGCTTTAAAGTGTCATCTGATATGTTATTATATTCTCATATTAGCATTTACCATCTGAAGCAATCCTGTGTCAGCTTTTCCGTTATTTTGCCTATGACTGTAACCAGAAGATAGTTTTCTCACTCAAATGTTAAACTGCAGGGCTGTTGTTAGACGTGCATCATCTACAACTACCAATGGCCACTGTACCAGGACTGACAGTGTCAGTACAACTCCAGTCCGCAAGAAGTGCTCTGGAAGGGATCTTGAGTGCCTCGAAGTTACTAACCAGGAAACCTAACTTCTATTCCTGGTAAAACAGTAGAGTCAACAAAGAAAGAGTAAGATCTGTGATCATGTGGATACGCAGGGTTTATTGGGAAAGAGTTAGTTTGGCGTTAATAAAAGCAAATCCTGCCTCATTGACCTGCTGAAACACAGTGAGAGAAACAAATGAACATATGAAGGAAGGAATCTGGTAGACGTAACTTCTGGATTTCCAAATGGCCCTTGACAAGGTCTGAACTTAAAGGCTAATAGAGAAGCTGTGTCCACTGGACTGGAGCAAAGGCCATGTTAATGGACCAAAAGCTGGTTAAAGGAGAGGAAACAAAGGGCAGGGCTGGACAGCTGCTGCTCAGGACACAAAAGATTCACTAGTGGGGTGCCTAGAGGGATTGGTGTGAGACTGCTGTTATTCAGCATGCCCAGCTGTGACCTGAAAAAGTTAGTGGGCAGTGAAATCTCCAGGTCTGCAGATGATATTGTGCTGTTTTCAGCAGCCAAATGCCACCCTGGTGGTGGGGAACTTCAAAAGTGGTCAAGAAAACTGGACAAAAAAAACATGGCGTGAGCTTCAGCACAGACAATGTGTCCATGGAAAAACACCATAAACCATGCACACACACCACTGAACTCAGAAACGATAACTTATGGAAGTTCCTAGAGACACTGCCACATGTTCTCTGAAATCATCGGCTCCATATGCAGGAAAAAAAAAAAAAAAAAAAAGCCAGTAAAACTTTGGGGATCATCAGAAAGGGTACTGAGACCAAGACAGACAGAATCACCCACATTTCCAGGACTGTTCAAGTTCTCTGCTCCCACAAAGGCAGAGCAGAAGGGGACACAGAAACTGTGCCACAGACTGTGCATGGATGATGGTGATATGGCACAGGGTAAGGTCAGCAGCACCAGCCGAAGCACCCCTGGTGCTTTAGAGGAAGGATACAGCTTTCAGGGTCCTGGGCCACAGGGAGTGCTTAGAACCTCTCCCTGAGGCTGGTGGTGGCCTCACCAGTGGAAGGTGTGTGCTGATCAACGTGATGAGCTGTCAGGTGAAAAAGCTACAGGATGAGATAAGCATACTGCATAGCATCCATGAAAACAAACAGGAGAGCAACAGGCTCTTTGCAGAAATCTTGCAGAGAGAAGAGTCCAGACCCCACGTTGTATGGAAGAAGGGTCAGCTATGGGCTATGCTCAAACGAACAGCAGGGGCTCCCAAGCTGGGGAAGGCTGGGAGCTCGAGATTGCTGGTAACAGAGGGAAGAGTCCTTCTCTCTACTGACACACATCTAAAAGATAGGTACGGTGCCTTGTAGCAGATGAGGAAAACCAAACTACACAAAAGGAGGCACTGGAGCCATTCCAGAATGAACCCCGTCAGCACCAACAGAAAGTGTCAGGTGAAACGTACTGGAAACCACTTCTGCGAGGGACAGAGGCACAAAGCTGTCAAACAGACCTGACTAGCAACAAGCCTCCTGAAACAGCAGAGGCTGCAACTCAGTATACTGTGAAAGACAGCTAAGTCAGCAGTGTGCCCTTGCAACAGTGGAGCGTGTAACAAAGGAGCTGAGGGAAGTGATCATTCCCCACTAATCAGTGCTTGTGACATTGCATCTGGAGTACAAGACAGACACTGATAAACTGGAATCAGTGCGGCAGACGGCCAAGAAGATGAACAGGGAGTAGAGAATACACTGTACAGAGGCAGGCAGACAGACCTAGGGCTTTTTGTTCTTGAGAAAAGAAAGCTAAAGGTGATGTTGCTGCTGTCTTCAACTACCAAACACAATGGTACAGAGAAAAGAGGCCAGGCTCTTCTCAAAGGTACACAGTGGTAGAGGGAGAGAGGCAAGGGATCCAAGTTGGAACCAGGAAAATCTGGACTAGATATGAGGAAGAAAATGTTCACCATAACAGTAGTTTAAAGTTAGAAGAGGAGCCCAGAGAGGCTGTGAGATTTCCATCTTTGGTGATACTCGGAACTTGACTAGACAAGGCCCGCAGCAAGCTGATCTAGGCTGGCCCTGCACTTTCCCTGAGATCAAATCACCTCTGCAGGTCCCTTCCAACTTGAATGATCCTGTGATGCCACATATCAAGGACATAGTGGGCTTATAGAAGGTTCAGAGAAAGGCAACATAAAATGAGGGGATGGAGCAGCACCTTGCAAGGAGAAATGAGGGCCACAACTCTTGAATTTGGAGACAAAGCTGAGGAAAGAGAATAAATGAGGTTTACAACACAGAAAGTGGTGAATAAGCTGAATAAAAGACTTCTGTTTACCAAATTGGCAATACAAGAACGGAGGAGCACTCGGTGTAATCAGTGGGACGTTGGTTTAGAGCAGATCGAAGAGTGATCTTCAGGTGACAGGTAATGATGTTCTGGGACTTGAAGCCATGGGCGTTAGAGGAGACAGATTCAGCGTGTCCAAGGGACAAGAGACATATGGATGCAGGAAGGGCTGGGCAGAGATGTCCTCTCTGACATCTCTAATCCAACAAGTGTGAATGTGTGGGACTGTGAAAGGAATGAGCCACAGCAAGTGGCTGGCTTGTGTGCTGTCTCTAAATAGCATCAGCTAATGCCACCACTGGAAAGAGAATGTCGGGTCGAAGGACACTGATCTGAATGCAGGAGAGCGTTTGTGTTTTCCCTTGCATTTACACATTCATCCCACTAACACGTTCTGAGTAATGACTGGTTTTCTGAAATGCTTGCATCTTTCCAGGATTCATTAAAAGCTAACATAAGCCCAGAAATTTCGAAAGCCAAACTTCCCAAACAGTTCACCATGAGCTACGTATGTTTGCAGGCTTTTACATGACATTTCAATTTCTACAACAGCAGCAGTATGTCTAGAATAAGCTAACTTTTTACATATGCACACATCTCTCCCCATCCCTTTTTTAAAGAAAAATCTATACTGTACTTCTTAGACTGCTGCATCAAAATCCTTCATCTTAACCCCAACAATTAAACAGCTCAACAGTGTCCACTGCTAGACTGCTCACCCAGGACTCTACCTTTGAAATGAAGACACCTGGTTCATGAATCCCAAATGGATGGCTTGAATGGTCACTGCCTCCTACAATGCTGAGTCCCAGGGGACCACCTGCTTTTACAAGGTGAATTTCCTTGAGGGAACAAGAAGCAGAGTCAAAGGAAATAAAGGTTATCACATAAGGACCACAAGCACTGAAAAACATGGAGTCAGGGACGTTTTGCATGAGTGAGCACAAGGCAAGCACCCACAGGACAAGGGGGTTCCCCATTACTGCTCAATGCCCCCATAACACAATGGGCCAGCCCTCATCAGACTACAATTTTTTCTAATGAAAACCACCCAAGATTGCACTATCCCATATTCCAACAGACTCACTCACCTCAATGGGATATTGATCCTCCAGGCCTTTAGACAGATGGTTCCTTTGCAGAGAAGGCATCTCCTCCGGCGGGCTCTCCCCGTGGCCGGGAGGCGGTGGTGGGGAGTGCATGCGCACCCGTGGCACGCCTGGGCAGTCTCCCTCGCTGAGCTGCTCTGCACACTCTCTCTCTACCAGCAGCACGATGGTGGGGGAGGATGCGGTAAGCAGCGCTACTGCCTGATCATGCCTGGCTTCTGTCATGTCTACCCCATTGATCTAGAACAACCCGCAAACTCAGTGTCAGACCACCACCTGAGTACACCCTGTCATTTTAAGCACTTAGCCAAGCACCCTAAGGGACCCCATCCTGCTGGAACACTGCCCCTTCTCAAAAGCCTGTCTCCCACAGCACTCTGTAACTTACCACACTCCTTCCTATCTGGCAAAGGGACATAGGCACCTGCTTATTCCCACCTGACCACAGTCCTCTTTCTAGACAGTTTACCATCCCCTTTCCCACCTTCTATGTACATCTCCAACCCCTAACAGCATCATTTGTGCCTCAGAGGGCCATGAAGACCAAGTAAGATGCTGCAACTCCTGGAGTACTACAAGCCTAGCTATTGCCCAGACTCAGCTGTGGCTCACTCACTACCAGGAAAGTACCTGTCACTGCTGCTTGGCTCTGCATTCCACCTCTGCATTCCAGCTTTCCTACTGGGTCACAACAAAAGAAGCCCAAGAGGTTGCATTAAAGAAATGGGTTCAAAGATCTCAATATGGGAAGAAGACAAACCAGTGATTCCCAGAAGCGATGCCACAGCACAGTAATGTGCCATAGCATCCGCTGCCTCTGCACGAGGTCATTTGCCCTTATCAATCACTCTCAAAGCCCAGACACAGGCACTGAAGAGCATGATCTGATGTGCGACAGGGCTTCCCACTGGACACCGGGCTGCTGTCTGCCCCTGCTGGGCAAGTTCATGGCAGCTGGGAAAATGTCAGTTTTAAGTCATAAAAAGTGCATCCCAGGTATAAAAAGACTTGGAAGCACCGAGAAAGAGATTCTGCTAGTCCACAGCGGCTGAGTGGCTGACACAAAAAGAAAACTAGAATTCTTTTGGACAAGAAAACATCCAATATGCTATGCTGAACAATTTCAAGAATGCAACTACAGTCATCTTTTGTTACCTGTGAAAGATATAATGCCTCAGACCAAGAGGTACTTCCAGTACATACAGGGAAGCAACAATGTCATTCATACAAAGCACTGAAGAAAACTCATCTGAAAAACTGTGTACTATTCTCATCCTTCACACACAGAAAAATTATCTCACGTAAGTTAGCAAGATGTGCAGACAAAAGCTGCTGCAAAAGGCAGGGGAACAGAGAGCTTTTCCTACAAAATTTAAAACAGCTTGCCTAGAAACTCAAAATGACCGGAAAGGATGCAACTGTTCTCCATGAATGTACAAGGGGCAGAATATTGAGAGGAGAACTAAGCTAGAAGAACACTGCCAAAAAGATGAAACTTGCCATGAAAAAGTTGGAGCTGAAAATTAAAAGGTTTCTACTTCTTAGGTCCCGGAAAAGCTTTCCAAAACGAACAGAGAGGACACAAAAATAACAGCTGTTAAGATGGAATTCGATCAGCTTAGAAAATGGTAATGTGACTTTGTAACAGCCACAGCAACTGGATTTAGTAGGCCGATTCCTAGAAATATTATAGTTGCTCCCCAGTTCCTTCCAAAAAAGCAGTTTCTGGACAAAGCTGAGTCCACACAGTCTGACAAGGCTTTGTCCAGAACCTCCATAAACACCACCCCCACCCTCACCCGACCTGCCCCATCCCATCTGCAGTCAAGTGTGCTACTCCCCTTCCTTACAACATGGACGATAGGCAAGCCAGCCCTGTGCTGTGTTGGACACAGACAGGAAACTCTCAGCCCCACAGCATTGCCTCTACTCAGAGGATTGACCCCAAAGGGACACCTTTGGCACCAACCACAGAGGACAAACAGAAGGATGTGAAGGCATGCCAGCCTGCACATGCATGCAGGAAGAGGAAGGATGTAAAGGCACAAGGGTAATGGCTGATGAGCATAAGAGACAAGATAATAAGCAGGGAACGTAATAAATTAAACACACAGGTGCACAAACCTTGATGAAATGCACATAACAGAGACAAGACTCGAGACACTCATGGATGGATCATTAAAGGAATCACTCAAATGGTAACATTAAAGTACAACCAAAAACTTGGTGATCAATATGCAGAGGAAATCAAGATTACCATGGGTTATCAGAACAGCTCTCATGGGAAAGAGCAAACTTGCTATAGGAAGTCTTAAGGGGGACTGTGGACATGTGCAAACCTTATTATGGGATGTTCAGCAGAAGGATCACAGGTGGAAGAGTGGCCAAGGAGGAGAGGGGAGGAACAAGCATGGGAGAACAGAGAGGGTGGAGAACAAAAGATGCTGATCACATGCAAGCAGGCTGCTGGTCAGTATGCTTGTCTGGCCAAGCCCTGTGCCTGATCACCATAGTCTGCTCTATCTTTTTATCAAACTCTGTTTGCATTTACTGTGCAAGTGTGCTCTCTATTCTGGGTATGTGTGCAAGATCTACTAGTAAAATTCAAGTTGGACTAGCCAGCAAGTAGGAATCCAAAATGTGGAAAGACCCAACAGCTGGCCCAGAAACTGGATAAAAGGCTCAGGGTCTGACCAAAGAGCCTTAAAGAACTTAATGCTTGGGGCAGAGACCAAAGAGACCTGCAAACGTGAATATTTATAAAAGTTGAGCGAGGGAGTATATGTGCATGTTTCACTAGCAAACCTTAAACCTGCTTAGCCGGAGGGCAAGAACAGGGTTAAGTTATCTGCACTGTTCATGCCCTATGAGGACTGTTTGTGTTTATGTGTGCACCTCTAAAGGTACCGCCCTGCTTCTTGTCTGTGTAAATCTGTGGCCAGCCATGTCTGCAGAGTGTTTCATCTTTGGAATCTGCAGTTAGCCTTCCTTAAGAGCTGATGCTTTTCCCATTCCCAGGTCCGTGTCCAGTGGACTGGGAAGAGAGGATTCCCTTGGGTCCTCCTGTCTGCTATATACACGAATTTTTAACAAAGATGACATGCAGAGGAGACTTGGCCCTTAGGTTCTTATCACCAGATCAAGGCCCAACATACTCCACAGACAGACCTGCTGTAACAGCATACACACTTGACTTCATACACTTCCCTGTTATTTTTCTGCCACTGCCAAGAAGATGAGAATGGTCAGACTTGGTCAGACCAAAAGTATACAGTGGTACTCCTCCAGACTAGTGAACATGGACACGGGAATTTCCAAGTCAGAGGTATATCACATGTAACAGCCCTTGATGGCATTTTACTCGTTAACTTCTCCATTACATAGCAATCATGATGCCTTCCCAGCTTTTGCGCAGCTAGTTTTCTGTGGCCTTTTTTGCTACGTCTCTGGTTAGCAAGGCAACCAGGCCAACCAGTGCAGTTCAGCTAAATGCCCAGAGGAAGGGAAAGAGTGTCATCTTGTCCTTTTCCAGCTCTACATATTTTGACATGTGCCAGGGAGTTATATTATTCTGGCAAATTTCTTAGTGATCAGACCGCTCTCATTAGAACCCCCATGTGTCGCCTGGTGCTACTACTGTCCTAAGTCTCCCCCAGAACCAGTTTTATTCAGTCTACTCCCAGTCCTATCCCCCCAAACTAGCTGCCCTTAGCCACTGCTCCCAGTCCTGCACCCTCCCTGCTAGATTCTCATCCCATGATTCAAACTCTCCAACATTCCCCCCATTGCAGCTTCCTGCCCTCTATCTTCCACTACCAAGACGACTCTCAAGATGCCTGTGATGACTCTCAAGACACACTAGAATACAGGGAAAGCTGAAGCGTTAGTAGTCAATCACTGGTGAGTTTTGGGGGGTGTTAACTTTGAAGAGAGATCTAGGCTGGGCTCTTCAATCCATGTACTCAAAGCTCCCTTAAGAAAGTAAAAGGAGCTATCCCAGTCCTTCTCCTGCAGAGAAGTCCAGGATGATTTAGAGCACAGGGGAAGAGTATGAAGCTGTGCTGTATTTATTTTCTTAAGAAAACAAAAATTCTTTGGCAAAGTGAGAACTGAGGCATGACTAGGAGATTATGGCTTTGGAAATGGGTCTCTGCCTGCTGGACCTATGAAACTGCCTGTATCCTAACGAGGGCTCTCCTGCTTTCCCCATGCAGACAGAGGGGAACACATGCAACCTGCACTGCACATCCCAGCAATCATCACATCCTGAAAAGCTTTCCAAAATGGGCAACCACTGCTTCGAAAGAGTTGTGGTAAACAAGGAATTTATGTGATGCTATGCAAGCACCGCTCTGAAGTGAACAACCACTCTCTCAACATCCAGTATCACGGGGCAGGGCAACCCCACAGCTTTAACTTAGCACCAGATTTTGCCAGAGATGGAACAAAACTCACACAGCTGCTTATGCATCTCCTGCAGCAAGCATATATTCTCAAGGACAAATATCACTAATATGAGGCCTTAGGATGTAACACTACCTCTATGTGGACATCATACTTAGCAGTGAACCCCACAATCAGGAAAGGCAGAATAGCAACTGCTCCCAGAAGACATGGCTGCTGGAGAAATGACAGTCAGACTCTTGCTGGAAGGCAGGGAAGTTATGTGAATAGTCCAGACTAGGTAAGTGTTCTGGAAGATAATTATTTGTTCCTGCTTTCATCGTAACTGAGCACAAGATTTGAGCTGCAGCTGATGCTCAGCACCAAACCTTTTATGACTACACACACTTCAGAACAGGTGGCATCCTTGAGAGCAGAAGACCATGCTCTCAAGCATGGGCATATTTCCTACCTATGCAATAACACCGCACTCGTCATTATAGCAGGGTGTGTCAGAGGACTAATGACAGCAAGGCCTTCACCCACAGGCCCTGAGTTCTGTAAGCCCTGAGCCCATACATTGCAGTCTGAAGACACTGCAAGATATTACTAGGGAATTAGATCTGCTTTTCCTATGAAGCTGCCCACAGATATAAATAGAGCTGCTAATGGGCGGTGGAGACAGGTTTGACTTTTGACTCTATTCTGAGATTTTGTGTTTCCTTCTTGCCACAGGTATAGCAAAATCAACACCACATGATAGGCTGTGTGCCTGCAATTACACCTCTCAGTCATGCCTCTGTACCAGTGGAGCATCAAAAGATGAGCAACACCAAAATAACGTAGGCTCTCTGGCAATAATCGGGGTCAGGGCTTGATTTTGGGAGGAGGGGGGAGCACTAGCAAGGAGGGATAGATACTGTGCCAGTTCAAGTCTCCTGCCAAGATACATGTGTCAGAACCGGGCCAGAGCTCCACTAAAACTTTGTGCCAGAGCAAATACAACACAGCCCCCAGCCTAGAGATAGAGCAGACAGAAGCCAGCACTGACAAGGCTGTATCAGTGTTTACTCACGCCAGCTCTGTGGTAACACGTGCTCTTACCACAACAGCTGGATCAGAAACCCACCACCAGCACCAGGATGCAGGAGCTTTCAATTGGAGGCAGCATGCGAGCTTGGGAAGAGGGTCAGGAGACTCAGCAGACTCTCCCCGCAGGAGGGGGAGCAAGTGACACATTACGCAGAGAAACTTGAGGTTAGAGGCAGCAGTGAGATCCATACCACTGGCACAAACAGGAAGGGAAACCGAGGCCGAAGTTTCAAATGAAAGCAGGGGGGAAGCACTGCAGTATGCCCTGCCCAGTTCCACATCACGCTCAGGCAGCCTCCATTGCTTCAGCCTACGCCTGCCACCTTGCTCTCTGCAGGGAGCCGGTCAGCTGTGCCCCAAAGGGCTTCCCTCCCGACATGCCATGCTGCAGCAGAGCCCTCCGAGGCTGTCCTACAAAGCTCTGGAGGGACACCAGGCCATGGCAGTGCTGTCGTATCATCTCTCCAGCACAGCCCGGACTGCTGCACGCTGCTCCCATGGGGAAGCGCTCACGCACAGCGCTTGGGGAAAGGGGAGGCATTAACTGCACCCACCACCAGTCACAGGCAGGGGTAGAACCACCAAGATTAAATGCTCTCCCAGAAGGCTCAGGAGCTGAAAGAAGGACCCCCAAAATCCACCTTCAATAACAGAAAAACAGTCCCTGCATGAGGAAGGGCAGGGAGCTGAGTCAGACCCCTTCCCTGCACACCCGCACTCACCGAGATGACCCGATCTCCTACGTGCAGGATCCCGTCTCGATGGGCTGCACCCCCCTCTGCAATCCGTGAGATAAAGATCCCCTGAAACACAGTCAGAAGGGTCAGAGCAGCCTGTGCTTCCCCTCACCGGGGCTTGGCTTTCCAGAACTGTACCTGGACACCAGGCAGGTCTCAGTGTCTCAGCCCCTCCACCCTTGCAGACCCCTCCCTTGCCCTGGCACTTCCTATTTGTTCCTCACTCCACACAAACCCTCTTCTGCTTCTAGAGCCACCTGCAAAACCTCCAGCTGCAGCAAAGCCTTCATGTGGCCGAGAGCCCAGAATGTATGTCAAGAGGACAGTGACAAGATTAAATGTCACTGGCAGGGATTGTGAGCCCGAGCCCCACCTCCTTATGAACTTCTCTCCTTCCCTGACTTAAGAGTAGATTCTGTCCCTCGGAGCCCTCCTGGCCCACCAGCCCAGGGCCAGGCTGCACTGCTGCATGCCCATGGGTGAGGAAGACTCCGCACCGCTCCCACAAGTAGTGCCGAGACTCAGGGATAACAAAGCACCTTCCTTCCCAGGAAATCATTACTGACCGTGTCACCAGCCCGGTATGGTGTGGAGCCTTTGCCACCAGCAATGCTGAAGCCCAGGCCCTTCTCATTGCGCATGAGGCAGGTGGAATATCTCTCTGTGGGAGGTGCCCCCTCGGGTCGCTCTGGGAAGCGCAGACCACCTCGCCTCTCACGAGGGCTGTAGTCATCCTCAGGGCGCAGCGGTGTGACAGTGATGGCGTTCTCCGGCTCCACCATCCGCTCCCGCAGAACTGTCATGGAGACGGAGCTGCCTGATCCACGCAGAGCTTCCACCGCCACATGATGCTCAGCACAGTGCAGGGACACACCGTTTACCTGGGGACAGACAGAGCCAGGCACAATCCTTACCTCTGTGGAGAGTTCCTCCAACAGCTGCACAGACAGCTCCAGCCTTAGTAACTGCTGCCCAAGGCAAGCACAGCTCATCCCCTGCACAGCTGTGTTGACTTGTTCCCGGAGGGGTGCCCAGACCTCACCTGCTGCTTGCAAGGGAGTTTCCCGGCACAGGGGGCTCCCACAACACGTGCTGCCTGTCCCAGGCCAGGGCAGCCCCGGCCTAGCACAGTAAAGACCCTTCCAGAGGAATTCTCCCCCCACAGGGAGCTCCAACTTCCCCACCACCTGTATCGTCCCTGAAGGCAACAAACTCCCAGACAGATAACTACTCACCCAGAACTACCTTCCCTAACAAATCTCGGTACAACTCAGGTCAACACAATTTCTCTTTCACCTTCAAGAAGGACATCTACTTCCTCATACCCTGAAACACTCATTCCCTCCCCCGCCATGCTAAACTAGTAAAGTACTCGCAGGGAGGACACCAGGTTCTGCAGCTCTTGGGGAAGCAACCTGATTCCCTCCACTTTTGCTTCCCTCATTTCAGAAAGAGGTCCTACCACATCAGAAGACTCAGGATATGCAAAGCAGCGTCCCATGAAGCTGAAGAATCTTCTTTTCATAGCAGCTACCTCATTGCATATTAACACACACTTACAGGAAGGATTGTCTGGTGCTCAGCCTGAAAACCAATGTTCAAATCTATTTCCTCCACTTGATGGCATTTAGGGTTTCTTCCCATCATGACCTTCACTCCTGAGCAACGCTCTGTATCCCTACTCTAGGGGTGAAGACGTATTCCTTACAATTCATTGCCAATGAGAATGGAATCCAAGACTGATGTGCCTCAGTCACATCTTACTTGTAGTCATAACAGTCTTTTAGAATGAATATGACAAATCTCTGAGTTATGTTGTGAGGGTACAGCCACTTCTGCAGAAGGCATAGATGAATGGGCATCACGGGAAGTGAATCAGAAAGGGAAAAGTAAATAATCTCTTCCCAAAGTTGTAACTGAAGAGGGATCTACTTTACATGAAATAGTAGGGCACCACAAATTTAACTGTTGGGAAAAGGAATAAATATTAATCTCAAAATCTTCAAGATCTGACCCCCTTTGGGAAGTCATTCTGCAGCAAAATGCAGTATTATGCATGCAGCACAAGGATGTTCAGTAACAATGAAGGTCCTAAAACATACAAGAGACCAGGCTAGCTCAAGTGCATACTCCCTTTTTTGGACTCCATGGAATTATCAAGACAATCCTATGATAACTGCAGAAGTGAACAAGGTAAATTTTGCAACTCCAGAATCAAGTCTTCTCATGAAGCAACACAAAAACTTCTAATTACAGAACCATATAGCAGTTTATTCGACTTCTACCATGGTCAACAGCAGGTAAGTGGTGAGAAAGACCGGAACACCTACTCAGGCAAATGCCCAGGCCTCCACTGCTAATGCGTAGGCTGCAGTGAGTAGGAGCGCATGAGCTACCCAGAGACACCATACCAGATCGCACAAACACAGGCCACTGCCCAAATACAGACCACTTATTCCTCTGATCTCTGTCCAGCACTGTAGTGACATCTATTCCCTCCATAATGCAATCAATCCTTCCTCAAGTGCATCTCAATCCTGTATGATTAATCACGTTTTCAAATTATTTGAAGACAGGCAAGCATGGCATATGGCTGGCTCCCTGGTTCCAAAGTTATCTCCCAAGGCCCACTCTTGCCCCACACAGGAAAGCAGATATGTAGAGACCGGCTGGTCAGCCTGCTGGGGTCATGGGGACACACTGCTGAGTATTTCTTCCCACCTGAGTTACACAACACTTCAGAGTTGGGGGAGAGTGAAAGCAGGAGCAATTTACATCCTTACAAAGCAGCAAAAGATTAACGGTAATGTTAATTAAATACCTAACTCTTTGAGCTAGGGGAATTTTGTTTTGCTCTTGCACAGCACCTGATACTTAATTTGGCCTACAAACTAGCATGATGCAGATAAATACCAAATCGTATTTCCTCCTCCAGTCTGAAGTAATCAGAAGCATTTACTTCTTCACAGTAGCTAGGTTCTTACCTCCAGAAGCTTGTCCCCAACACGAACCCCTGCACGAGCTGCAGGACCCTCTTCTGACACACGGGAAATAAAGATGCCCTGGAAACAAAACTACTTGTTAGAAGAGGTGGAACCCATTCGTCAAGCCTCTAAAGTGTAAAGAGACCGCTCCACCCTGTTCACCGTAAGGGAAAGGGGAAACCCCTCGCCAATCCTGTACCCTGGATGTGGGGACAGGACAGCCACATCACCCCATTCAGGAGTTGGTAGAAAGGGGAAAGAAATCCCATTGCAGGGCTACCCCATAGGTGACAAAGGGGAAAAGGGAATGACACTTTAATCCTTTTCCAATGGGACAGGAACACGACAAAGCTGATGCCACCACATGTGTAGAAGACAACCCCATAATCTTTGCCTTGTGAGTCCTGTACATCAGGACACAGATGGGAAAAATACAGCTGTTCTCTGCAGCCAGTAGCAGGAAGGTACAAGAAGTTGTGATCCAGAGGCAAGAGCCCACACAGCCCACCTGCTCCAGGGTGGGCCAAGGGCTGCTCCCACCCTGCTCCAAAAGCGCAGCCCAGCCACAAAGCTGATACATACAGACATCCAACCTCCAGCTACAGAGAACTAGTCCCTGAAAGTGGGTGCTTCAATAATTATACAGTCCAGGGTCTTACCTCATCATCACCCTTATAGGGGGTGGAGCCCTTGCCCCCTGCGATGCTGATGCCCAGCCCCCCCGTCTGCCGCACGATAGTCAGTGTCAACTGGAAGCAGAATGGACACAGGTTACAGGTCAGTGCAGACTGGGAGAATGCCCAAAACATCTTGAAGAGCAAGGGATGACTACTTAAAGAATAAGCACAAAAGTATAAACTTTATCTGCATACATCTGCTCACATATTTTTGTAGGCTGTGGTATCCATGCCTCAAAGGCACCGAAGTCATAATACATTTAAACAAACAAATCCTTTTTCACAGTTGAGTCCTGAACCGTATTTCAAGACCACGAGTCAGTTTGCCTGTAATGAACACATCAGAATGAGATGTCCACCACGAAGTAAACTGAGCAGCAGTAGGATGGGACTGGATAAAGAAGTAGGGATAATGTTCACATCACAGCCCAGCTCTACCACATGGCTCCCTTTGGGGTGTAATTCCATACAACTACTGGAAGATTACGGGTCACCCCAACGTAGTGTACAATAACAAGAATGGCACCTCTTCCAGAATACCCTGGACAGATACATGACTTTGCTCTATTGGTGGAAATCAATATGTGATTCAAGAAAAGCCATTTGCTTTGTCCAGCTGTCTCCTTTCTCTTCTCCCCTCTGCAAAGGCAGGCTCAGGATTGTAGCTGTGCAATCCAGAATTCTCTTCTCCTTCCTGTCTCCCCCCTCTACATACCAAATTATGCCCACTTCCAATAGCAAAACTTTCGGTCAAACCTGAACTGAAATTGCTTATATTCAGGACACCAGCATAAACCGTTCATGTTGCCCCAGTCACAAGAAGGAAAACAGGGAGCATGTGGTAGGATACAGGGAAAGGAATGGGACAGAAAGGACCCTCTCAGGGATCTGTCAGGGCCAAGGACCAAGGAGCTGGTGAGGTAAGTGACAGAAATGCACAAAGACTCCTGGAGAGAACCAAATTTGCTGTCCTCCAGATGTCAGTTCTCTGGAAACAAAGTCCAGAACAGAGAGCGGCTGCTGCAGAGGTGTCTAGCTTCAACATCAGGTCCGCTTGGCCTAGGTCAGGCCACTGTGTGGGCAGCAAAAGAAGCAGGAGACTTGCTTTCTTTAACCCCTTCCTTCAAATCCTTCTTAACTTTCTACAATGCCAGAAGCAATAGCCTGTGGGGAGCCACATTCTGCTAAGTTTGAATTACAAAACCAAAAACAAACAAACAAACAAAACAAATAACCCCACAGGAAATGTAGAACTAAAATGAGGTTCCTTGCCATTTCCTTTGGTGTCCAGTCAACAGTGTAGCAGAAAGCTGATGGGATCTTCACAAGGACACCCCTGATTCTAGACAGACCATAAGTACATCATCTCCTGTGCAACACCTAGAGACTGAATAAAATCCAAGTACTGAAAGACAAGGATTATTCAGGTGAGACAAAGCAATGTGGTAATCATGAGATAGCATTCCATGTCATTGATAAGCACACTTTAAAAACCAGTTATTGATTAGACTAACGCTTCTTGCATGAAACAGTCTGTTAGGATCAAACTACAAATATCAGGGTTTTTTTCCAGTCTCACTGGATTTTACTAATGTTCTAAAGACTTATATCTATATTCAACACAAAAGCTTCTAAAGACAATGGAAAACTAGGTCTCCAGACAAGCACTAGAGAGTATTCTAATAACAGGATCCAGCAGTTTCCAAGTAAGATAGCTGATGGTTTTGCTCACTACCTGAATCAGTAGGACAGGATTGCTATCTTTGACAATGAACAAGGAATATACAATGTCACTGGTTACAGAAAGTCATCTGCAGTTGCACAGTAAGTTGATTGTGTAAATTAACTGAAAGATAAACAACAAAACCCATGGAATTCACAAATTCATAGAAATCAGACTGAAAATACAGGGAAGTTTGCCAGAAAAGTCAACTAGACTGAGTGTTAAGAACCTTTTGTCTATCAACATACACTGAAAAAGGAAAACACCAAGGAGGAACCAGACCTAATTAAACTTAAAGACACTGCTAGAACATCAGCAAATGGACTTGAATTAGACATAAATATATTTAGGCTGGAAAGAAGATTTTAAGCTCTCAAAGCAAATTAGTTCTCCCATAAAAACAGTGTGGTAGGAAACTGAACTGCTGAATGTTTGTTTGAAGTCTATGAAAAGAATAATTGACATGAATATGGATCTGAGAAAGAAGGAATTGGGTCCAGTAGCATATAATGGCCTTTCAGTTTTATATTCAGTATTTCACATTACCACCCAGACACTGCTTTTTACACTAAACCATTAAGTTATTTCTTCCCAAAAGTGCATCTGTCCTAAGGATGCTTCAGAGCTGCCTTGGCTTCCATGATGTCTAGACTGATACTCTGGAAGCACAGCAAATAGCTGCCCTAACAGCAGGGACAGCACAGCTTCTACCCCTGCAATCACTCTTGCCAGTGACTTTCCTGGATATTCTTCTCCTCTTGTATTTTCTTCCCTAGAACCAGGGATCCACCTGCCATCCAGCAAGAGCTCACCTCAGACCTAACAACTGATTAGTGATACTCCTTGACTAGAAACATGCTGCTCAACTGATTCTGGCTCCGTTCTTTGCAGAAAGGGCAAACCTTCATTAAGTGAGCAACATATCCGGAGTTTCTTCCTACTTACTCCCAGACAGACAAGCATTCATGTTCTCTATCCGGAGTTTCTTCCTACTTACTCCCAGACAGACAAGCATTCATGTTCTCTATCAAGAAGTACTACTAGGAAAGGTGAAAAGTAGGAAAATTGAAAAAGCTGCCACTTCAGCCGACAGTTGTCATGTCCCTGAACTCCCACTGGAGACTAGGAGGAGACCCATTCATCACTGATGGCACCAAAGCACAACCCAAGGAAGTAGTTCTACTTCCCTCCTCTCTCCTCCTCAGTCCCACCTGTGTTTCTACCTGTACATCTCTGAGAAACATACTTAAACAAGGACTGATTCCATCTCAACCTATTTTTCCTACATTATTCATATAACTATCTTTTAACAAATTCACTTGATCCTGCAAGATTTTCCAGCTTGCAGGGAATAAATGTATACCATTCTGGAGAAATGCATGGACAAGCTTATTTTTCAGTAGCAGCCAGGAATATCTGAGTATTGCCCAACTGACTTGAAACAGTATTCGGTGCTGTGCCTTCCAACTGCCAGCTAAGGATTTCTGCAACTTGCTTTTGGCTGGAGCACAGCAGACACAGAGGCAGCAAACTAGACATTCACAGGATTCAACTGCCAAAGCATGGAGCTGTAGTACTTCAGAACCTGCTGAAAGACCATGTTGTTCCTCCAGACGTACCAAAGGGAGTGGGGGTTTAAGGGCTTTCCAGAAGGCAGCAAGTTTCTGCATGCACAGGCATCTTTGTATAACTTGCTGTATATCTGTAAGTGTCTAACCCCTGCATTTACATGAGTTGAAACTTTAAATGAGACTGGATTGTCAACAGACGCATAAAACGCAAGTATGCGATAAATACTTCTGATTTGCACTTGGACAGAAGCATGATGATGTACCTGCGTCACATGAAGGTGATGGATCACACTTCACTCCAACGGCAGCTGAAAAATCCATTTACTATAATCAATAAGGAATAACCATTTTAAAAGTCCAGAGGACTGGATAACTTGTACCCAAGAGTCCTAGCAACTGACTGAGATCTCCAATACGCTTATAAAGCATTTATAATATTCTGGAATCTTGATACTCTGAAATAGCATTTACATTGTGCTGTTAGACTAAGAGACTACACAAGATGTTGCCTGTAATTACCAGCTTGTCATCCTAGCACCAATTCTAAAAAAGTAACTGAAGAACATGCATGCCTCTTACCAGGCACACAGAAATAGCACTCATGCCAAACAGCTGAATTTTATGAAAATTACCTGTCTCAAAAACCAAACATACCTATATTTCATTCTCTGACAAGACTCCGAACTTGGCTGATAAAGTAATAATAAAGATTTAACAAGCATATTTTGTAAAACAGGAAACTTGTTACCCCGATACATTCTTACTGACATCATATGATGCTGGTTTTGGGCGTATGTTACACAAGCTAAGAACTAGCAGAGCTCAAGTACTAGTGATCAGTGAAGAACCAAAAAGTAAGGTTCTACTGAGACTTCACCAGGCCTGATTGTATTCCAAATCACTGACAGTAGAAGTGTTAATAGTTCCATATGAGGGGAGGCAAGGAGCCTTCAAATGCAGAAGGGGGAGGGACAGACACATGTTTTTTCTTTTCATGCCATTAAATAGCTTTATAGGAAATTATTATTCCATGTTTGTAACAACAAAGGAATTAGGGATACCCAATGAAATTTCAGCAGCAGGCTTAAAATGCTTTTGAATGTAAAGCAGAAGTAAATTACAGAATTTATTACCACTAAATACTGTGGAACTAAGATGTGTAAAAGGGAGTGGAGAGATCAGACAATTCCACAGACAGCAGCTCCACTGTGTCTAGTGCAATAGTATGAACAGTCCAGAAATCCTAAACTACAGATTGCAAGGACCTGGGAAAATACCAGTGAAAGGATCACCGTACCTCGCTAAGGTCTGTGCTTCCTAAATCCTAAAGAAAGTCCCCACACTTAGAGACATCCTTACACAGACATGACATTCAATTCTGTGTGTCCTTTTTCCAGGAACTCCTCAGCAAAAGAGAGGGTACTTACGTAGCACATAAATGTAAGACACATAGGAATTCAGGAGCCAGAGGCACTGACTCAACAGGAAAGATTAGAAGAGCTAAATCTGTCTGGCTTCAGTAAGCAATAACTCATGAGGACAAGAGGATAGGCTGAAAATATCAGTGACCAAATGGAAGGTGGGAGATTCCTGCATGAGCTGTTGAGAACTAAATTAAAACCGAACAACGGAAAAAGGAACATGAAGGAAAGATCCTGCCCTGGCAGAGGAGCAATCTGCTGGGTATGAGCTGAAGATTTTCTGGCTCTGATGTTATTTCTTCCTACATTCAGATGTTTTTTTAGTTACCAAGGCAATGGATGCTTACAAGGCAGAGA